AAAAGGAACATATGTTACTTCTGCTTCTCGGAGATTTCTGCAGTCATTGCAGGAGAGAGATTCCATCCAAGCATTTTTACCTCGGGGGCTGCTGGTTAATGTGCGTTACAGGCTCTGCTGTGAGTTTCCACCTGGGGAGGCTGGTCCATGCTCTGCACCTTGCTGGTAGCTTCAAGCAGTGCTAAGAAGCCCAGCTGGCTAATGGACAGCTTGACCAGCAGACTTGCTTCCGGCAACTTTTCCATGTTACCAATGTTTCTCCTGGGAAATTATGCAAAGATAAACAGATCCCTGAGGCAGAAGCACAGGGCTGAGGCATGAAAAATAATCATTCCAATTATTTTTGAGATGGAGCAATTAAGGGAGAGGAATTTCATTTTCTTGCACAATGAGGTCTGCAGCCAAGCAGCACGTTTTTAATGCAACTGGCTTGAGACTCATTCTAAGAAAAGTAAAATAAGTCTTAATCTGAGCTGAAAGCCATTGCTTAAGTCAGGGGTGTCAAACTGCAGGCCGGATGCGTCATGCTGAAACCGCGCCCACCCCATTGCAGGCAATGGAGAAAAAGTTGTGATACGTCATGACGTTGCGAGTTTGACACCCCTGGCTTAAGTAGATTGCTTAAAAGATAACCATGTCTGGGCTCTGATATTAAACTGGTTTGGGCCTGGTTATTAGTTGGATGGGAGACTTGTAGGAATTTCCAGGATTGTAAGCTAGATGGGAAAGTTAATGAACACCTTACAGCCGTGTTTCACAACTCTGACATCTTTAAGCTGTGTGGACTTCAACTCCCAGAATTCCCCAGGCCACATTCCCTGGCTGGGGAATTTTGGGAATTGAAGTCCACACAGCTTAAAATTGCCAAGGATGAAAAACATTGCCCTGGAGTAAGGTGATGACAAATCGCTTCCACATTTTGCCTAGAGCAGTGTATCTCAACCTTGACAATTTTAAGACATGTGAACTTCAACTCCCAGAATTCCACAGCCAGCAATGCTGGCTGTGGAATTCTGGGAGTTGAAGTCCACATGCCTTAAAATTGTCAAGGTTGAGAAACACTGGCCTAGAGAGATTCATAAGCTTCTCCATTAACAAAGCAGATGCTGAATTCAACTGGAAATAATTTTAACTTTATGTCAGGCTTTTTCAAGCATGGCCTTAACATCTTTTCAGTTTCTTTCAACTCTATAGTGCTATGATTCCGGATCTCAAGAGCCATCCACCTCTTATCCTGGAACAGGCTAATCAGCAGAAGTCTCACAAACACATTTGGCTAAAATAGTTTCTTTACTGCAGCAAGAACAAAGTCATAGACACACAAAAGATCTGCTTAATGAAGAAAACAGAAATCAAAGTCTAAATATATCTTTGCTCCAGAATTTAAATTCTAAGCCTTTTTTCTTCCAACTTTACCAATCAATAGATATTTGGTCTTTCTTTTCATGGCCTCAAGACTAGGGAGCACCTGCTGAGTTCTGACATAACAATTCTGTCTGGCTTGCTAATTACTGATTCCCTTCTCATCAGCCTCATTTCTGGTAGCAAGTAAAGCTTCATCTGCATATGAGCAGGGTCGAAACCCGTGATCGTCCCTAGTGCCCAAAACATTGGGGACCACTGGATTAAAAGATGCTGAAGAGGCAAGGAAGAGAAGTGGATGAATTGGAAACAAAATAAAAATAGCAAAATGGATGCAGAACACACTGCCAATAGACTATTTTTGACATTGCTGTCCAAAGGGACTTTGGAGCTCTGCAGATCTTTTGCATTAAGTAAGATCCCCCTCACTCTTATTGCTGATTAGGTTGGCATAAAGCCACCTGATCTAAGCTGAATCAAGTGTCGCAGTCAAGTCTCTCATTAATTATATCCCTCAAACATCTGACAAAATCACATTCAGATTTTCAAGCCCTGCTAATCAAGATAATTTGGTATAGGTGTAATAATATGGAATTCACATTGTCTACAATACACCGCTTCTGGCAACACCAGTATTTCCATATAGTTGAAAGATCACCAGGATGAATTACTTTTATACAGTACAGATACAATTTCACATTTTTGTGAGGGCAGAATTCGGGTGACAGAATCTGACACTCAGGCTATCCCAATGCAATGACACCATTTCTACCGCAGGTATATAATTATGCATAATTATCCTTCAGAAAGTACAGGGATCACCAGTCTCTTACAAATGGAGGGGGCTCATGTCACAACTGTCTCATGGATCTTTGCTGGATCTTTTTATCACTGGCTTCTGATAATCTGTGGCTAAAAGCAAAATTGGCTATGTAGCTCCTTCATGGAGCTTAAGGTCTAACAAATCTAATTAAGTTTACCTATCTCAAGAAGTTATCCCCATCTATGTTGTAGCAGACTATTGTGGCATACAAGCTTAGATGGTTAAAAAATATGCTTAAGATGGTGTACACATCCTATGCCAAGCTTTCACAAGTTGCAATATTGCAATTTTTGAAGGCCGCATAGGGTGGGACTTTTTGGAAATAGCTCTTCCCTCTTCCAACACATCTTGAGAGCAATAGTTAGGAAAGGCTGCTTTAAGCCTACACAGAGATGTTTTTAAATGAGGGAATTTTCTCATACCTGATATTTGAGAGAGGCCTATATCTATATTGCCACTTTAATGACATATAGGGCAACTATAGCAACAGAAGAGAGGGAACACAAAAGATTTACCTTTAAACTTCTCAAAATCTTCAAAATGGCCAACCTGGTTCCATCCAGAGTATTCTTTGTGTATATTTATAATTATCCTAGACCAGGCAACTCACAATGTTGCGCGTGTGGGCGTGGCTTCCACGCTGGCCTGCCGGCAGTTTGACACCCCTGTCCTAGACCTTAATCTTCACTCTCTACACATGGCTTCTCCACCCCAGTTAAAATGGCCTCCTTCATTTACAAGATAAAAACTATTAGGCGGCTATAATACTACTCTCTGCCATCCAAAACAAGCAAAAAACCCACTCCAGTAAAGATTGAGCATGCTATTATCAAAACAGAAAAATAACGATTTGAAAAAAGAAATGGCATATTCTGAAAAGGGCAAGGCTGGCACTTTGAGCCAAAGAATGTACTGTAACATCTATTGGGATTTGAGCTACAGTAGCAAAGACATGTACTTTTAATGCAAATCCAGAAACATGTACAGTAAGGGGACAGAGGTATAGAGAATGAGAATTCATCTGAACTTGTAAAAAGGAGTCTATTTAATTGGTCAATGCCACCTCTGAGCCCCATATCACATTCTGAGGGATTACACTTATATAGATGTTTGAGGAGCTCAAACATTCTAGAAGTCTCAAGTGCTTAAGAACTGTTAATATTGGCCATAAATACGTTAGCTCCTCTTAAAATGAAATTCCATCCTTTTTTAGAAATACAAAGAGAACAGAACTATGCAAGTCACCAAAGATGGAAACATCCTGGGAAGATATCTGTGTTATTCTGTGATGGGGAAAAAAAAAATCTGGCACTATCTTTTCTGACTAACAAGTTTAAATTTAAACTGCAACATTAGCCTATAGCTGCTTTATGCTTCTAACAATGTCTTTTAATAAAAAAATTGTTAGCTAGAAAAGTGCTACCACATTCCCGTGCCGCCCAAGCATATTATTTAGGGTAGAAATGGCAAAAACCTGCTTGTTGCTTTCTGGAGCTGGCCAAGTATAGCTAACTTCCGTTCTGAAAAACATGGTAAATCTAACATTTCAGCAAGGGGCTCCCTTTCTCCCTTTCAGGATTGCTAGTTTCTTTTTAAGTGGTTACAATTCAGAGCTGCATGGTGTAGAGCAGTGGTTCTCAACCTGTGGGTCGGGACCCCATTTGGGGTCAAACGACCATTTCACGGGTCGCCAAACAAGGCTGTCCGCCATTTTTCCCCCTTTTCTTTGGCCACACCCCTGGCACCCAGTGATGTATAAGTGGTTGGGGGTCACCACAACATGGGGAACTGTATTATGGGGTCGCGGCATTAGAAAGGTTGAGAACCACTGGTGTAGAGGGTATTGATAACCTTTTTTTTTTTTTTTTTTGAGAATGCTGTTGCCAAGCACTAAGCCAGGGCACATTTCTGGGGAAAGAGGAATTTCTGGACTGTCACGCACGTCCTCAACTATGAGAAAAAATACTAACTGCAGCACGGAGATGTAATTTCTCAAGGCCAGAAGGGGCCATCAGAGGGGATTTTATTAAAACTATTGCCAAAAGGCAGAAGGGAGATTTCAAGTCTCTTTTTTTTTTTCCCTCTTTGCAATTTATCTTGAAGAGAGAAAACTCTAGGCTCCTCCTAAAAACAGGATTCACTGAAATTAGCCCAAGCAAAAGATGGATATGCATATTTCTTCCATGACTGTTACACACGCAAAAAGCCGTGCTAATCACCCCCCTCCCCCCCCCCGCACTAAGCTGCACGTCTTTTATTTGTGCAAAAGGGAGGAAAGACGGGCGGCAAAGAGGACTTCACAATCCAGCCATTTTTAGAGCATTCCCTGGTTTACATCTTCTGGAGCAACAGGTGGCTTTCCTGAGCCGGTTGCAGCAAATGGTGGCGGTGTAGGGAAGAGGATAGTAATGGACAGATTTGAGGGTCTGCTGGCGTTTGGTGGCTGCTGGCGTCTGCCAAGAGACAGAGCAAGGTAGTAGGCGAGGCTGGAATTAAAACCGACCAAATCCAGCCTCGCTCTCAGTCTCCCTTCCCACTCTGACGCAAGAGGCACGTGCGACCTAAAGTCCGAAAGGCAATTAAGATAGAGGAGCTCTAGTCTATAGGGCTGTTAATGAGAGCATCTTCGCCACCTACAACCACCCCCCCCCCAGGATTTTCCACCGGGACCGGATTGTCTTGCAGAATTTTCTTGGACGGGTCGAGCGTGCCTGTCTTCTTTCCCTCCTCGCGTGCTTCGACACAGATGCGCGTACCGCCCCACGCCGCGTGGCCTAAGGCAGCAGCGCCCTTGCCCGTTGCACGGCATCCTTACCTTGCTCACCTCCTCCTCGTCTTCGTCGTCATCGTCCTCTTCTTCCTCCTCCTGCTCTTCTAAAGCCACCGGAGCAGCGGCGACCGCGTCCCTCTCCGCCTGACCGGACACCTTCCGCTCTTCTTGAACGTGACTCCGCTGTTCTGCTTTCAACGCCTGCGGGGCAGCTTCGTCCTCGACCTCCTCCTCCCCTTTGCCCTTCTCCCGAAGCTCTTCTTCCTTTTCTCCGTTCGTCCCCTCTTCGGCCCCTATTTCCTCCACGGCGTCCCTTCCAGCTTCTCTGCTTATTACCGCCTCCTCCTCCTCCTCTCCTTTCTCCTTCCGAGATTCCGCTGCGGCCGCCTCCGATTCCCTACCGTCCTTCTGGAGGCCTTGGCCGTCCGTCCGGTCTACCGCAGCAGAGCTCGCCTTGGCCTCCCCTTCTTCTTTTACTGCTGCTGCTGCTGCTGCTGGCTCCGTAGCTTTGTCCTCTTCCGAGGACCTCAGCTTGACAAAGACCGACGCTAGAATAACAGCCAGGACCGTGAAAAGCAGCGGGACTGCCACGTACAAGTCCACCGCTACATCCATGCCTCCGGCGGCTCTGCGACCCGAGAGCACTGCCCGCAATTGACCGGGGAGCTGCGATGGCGAGTCGTTGCCTTCTCGTACTTTTTTTCTCCCTCCGCTTTCTTCTGCCGCCGCCGCCGCCGGGCAACTGAGCAGCTAAACTGAATTCAGCTGCCTGGAAGCGGCGGTCGGTTAAATCCCTTCTCTTCTGAAGCCTAAAGCGGGATAGGGTTTCACAACACCCGCGTCACTACGCCGGGGCACGCCCACCTCTGCCTCTGGTGCCACTCCCGGCAGGCCGAGGCCGCTGGGGTGGCCGTTCCCACTTACGAGGCTTAACACCGGGAAGTGGAGGGAGAAGTAAAGAAAGACCACAGGCATGAAAGGAATATCTGTTTTGAGAGGATACAAAGCCATCTTCAATAATATTGGATCGTGTAAACTTCCCAGGAAAAATTTGAGAATTGGGTTGCATTTGGTGCTAGACCACAAACCGTGGTTTATGTATCACTCCACAGCAAAGCCAAACATTTTGGGTCAGGGTAATCCACCCTCCCTTATCATTGTCTTAGAAAGTAAACTCTTACTTCTCTGTTCTTCCTTTATATTTCAAATTTATAAGCCATCCAATTCATAGCAGCAATCAATGCAACACGAAAAATTAATAATCTAGAAATCAATATACTAATTAATAACATTCCCATAATTGACACATGTCTTAAGTTAGCATGTGGGGCAAATATTTGGACTTTAGGATGGCAGGATGGAGTGACCCAAACCTCAGTGGGGATCCTTTTTCAGAGGATAGGCTCCATGACAGAGAAGGAATGACATCCAAGTTGCATCAGATGACCTTGTTTTAATAATAGGACTTTCCAATAGTGTAATTTAAGCAGCATAGGTTATTAATTGCAGTGTATTCAGATACATCGTGTTTGTGCTGCTACAATCTGGACCAGTTATAGCTTCTGAGTGATTGTCTTTGTTGATTCTCAGTCATCCAGGTCATGGTTGTCCCAAAGGTGCTTTTTCAAGGGGCAACTGGATTTTTTTGTTTTTCTTTGAAGACTGTTTTGCTTCTCATCCAAGAAACACTTTGACTGGATGGTGGGGAATGGAAGGATGTATGCTCCTTACAGGCAGCTGGTCATTTGCATTCTTTTAGAGCATGGGTGTCAAACTTGTGATGTCACATGTTGCAACATGACTTTTTTCCCATTGCCGGCAATGGGGTGGGTGCGGTTTTGGTGTGACGCATCCAGCCCGCGGGCCAGCAGTTTTACACCTGTTTTAGAGAGGCGTTGAGGTCACCTGGAGGCTTATCTGTGTCAGGGTCACCTGAGAGGTGCAAATGGGTGTGGAGCCTTTTTGGAACTGTTGAAAGGACTGCATTGTAGTCTGGAGATAGATGATACTGTATCTCCCCCCCTCTGTTGAGAGGGGATTATTCAGTTTTGACATAGATGGCCTCTCTGACCCCTCTTTCAAACCAGTGGTCCTCTCTGTACAAAATGTGGACTTTGCTGTCTTCAAAAGCCGTTGTCTTTTAAATATAGATGGACTGCTGAATCTTGTCCTGATCTATCTCCAATCTACAATACAGTCCTTTCAGCAGTTCCTAGAAGGCTCCACAGCCATTTGCACCACTTGGGTGACCTTCAGGACAGATAAACTTCTAGGTGGCCTCAACAACTCTCTAAAAGAATGCATATGACCAGCTGGCTGCAAGGAATATAAATCCTTCCATTCCCCACCATCCAATCAGAGCTGAAGAAGCTTCTTGGATGAGAAGTGAAATGTCTTCAAAGAGGAAAAAAAGTCCTTGAAAAAACTCCTTTGGGATTTCTGAGTGATTGTCAAGGGCAGCCACATATGGACTACATTTCAATAGTTGATATGTGAGGTAATTGCAGCATGAGGACTGTGAGAAGGATCTGAGAAGGGTTATCCAATCTAGGAATGGCTACAATTGGCACACTAGGATCCTTTCTGCTCACATTTGCCATCTGCTTATGGAGCTGCAACTGCCAACCCAGAAATTGCCCTATTGCTTACTGTATCTGTCTGGGGAAGAACAAACTCATCCAGAGATGAAAGTGGAAAGCCCTTGCTGTTGAGAATCCAAAACACATAATCACCAAGTCTTGTCAGAGTTCACCTTTAACTGTTCCCTCCCCAGTCAGGCCCCACAATCTTCAGACGCTAAGAGAAGATTTTGAAGGCATTAATTGGTTAGCCTGTAATTCAACTGAATATCATCAGCATGTTGTTATTTGACTCCTGGCCAATAGATGAATTCACCCGGTGGCTTCATATAGATGTTCTAACAGCATTGAGCCTTTGAAACTGCATACATAAGGAACCTCAAGCTTGACCTCTTTCCCCAGCAATACCAATTGGAACCAGCCATGAAAAAAGGAGAACACACTGCCTCCTCATGCCTGCTTTGGCCTAGATGGATACCATGATTGACAATACTGAAGGCTGCTGAGAAGTCAAGGAGAACCAGAAAATTGAATACAAATCTGCCAGAACTTACCTATAAGATCAGTGCCACTTCTGTCCTGTGTAATGGCCTGAAATCCAACCCAAAAGGATTCACATAATCTACTTCCTCTAAGACCCATTGAAGTTCAATCCTATAATCTAAAAAGGGATGGAGAATGGATGAGTATTATCCACCACTGTTGGGTCTAGTGATGATTTAAGAGGGTGTGTGTCACTTGCTTCCTATAAGGCAGGCACTCAAGGATGCACTAATCACTGCATCCAGGATCAAGAGGAAGGTATCAAGGTGACTGGTTGCTTCTTTTGCTTAGTACCTAGTATTTTCTACTTAAAATAATGTGATGCTACAGCTGCAGAGATAGCTTACGAATCTTGCTGATTCACTAGTTTAACTGATCACAAGGATTAAAATCATGAACCTTAAGAGAATTTCTAGACAGGTTACAGTGTTTCTCAACCTTGACAATTTTAAGGCATGTGGACTTCAACTCCCAGAATTCCACAGCCAGCATTGCTGGCTGTGGAATTCTGGGAGTTGAAGTCCACATGCCTTAAAATTGTCAAAGTTGAGAAACACTGGGTTAGAATGTTAGAGGTCTTTGCCATTGAGGGCTCGAAGCTATATAACATATATTTTGTGAGATTATTTTGTATGATTGCTAGCCAGGGGGAAAGGCCATCATCAGTAATATGGAGTGATGTAAACAAGCTATCAGGTAGAAGTGCAGCTACTATATTTTATTAAGAGTTAAACACACACACCTGAACTACATTCTTAATCACAAGTTTGAAGGCACAAATTGTAGTCTTCTACACTCAGCTGTTAAAGATGCTGGGCTTTTCAGCTGGAAAACTGACAGCCTAAGTTTGAGACCCGAGCACTATGCAATGGGATGAGCTCGTTACTTGCCCCAGCTTCTGCAAGCCTATTTCAACAGCATGCAAATGTGAGTAGATAAATAGCTATCATTTACCTATTTCCCTGTGCCTAAGCATAGTCATGCTGGTCACATGATCACAGAAGCATCTTTGGACAATGCTGGCTTCCTCTGCAAAGAAGCTGAGATGAGCGCCACCCCCTAATCCAGGGGTAGGCAACCTTGGCTCTTTTATGACTCATGGACTTCAACTCCCAGAATTCCTGAGCCAGCCAAACTGGCTCAGGAATTCTGGGAGTTGAAGTCCACGAGTCATAAAAGAGCCAAGGTTGCCTACCCCTGCCCTAGTCAGACACGAATGGACAGGGGAAATGTTTACTTTTTTAACTTTATTTTTACCTTTACAAAATAAGACTTAATCCCCAATGGTCACAAGCACCCAGCAATGATTTCACAAAGGTCACTTTTAAAATATTGGTTCTGGAAGAGTCCTGGCTTACTGAACTACATTTAATTTTCAATTGATTTTAATTCTGCAATGTCTCAGGTCAAAAACTGCATTTATGTTGAAGTAGATGTTGGCCATTTTTCTCTTTGAAAAACCTCTTTCCTTGCACTGTGTTTATTCAAGCAAAAGCTTCCTGTAATCCAGATTTCTCAATTTCTGCATTTTGTTCTTTCTAGATATTGCATTTCACCTCTTGTAATGTACCACCAAACTCCTCAAAGTCTCTATTGTATCTATAGTAGCTGATATTCATAGGATATTACTAACAGGCATTATCGTGCTGTTTACTAGATTATAGTTAAGCATCTATTTAGCAATGTCCATGCCTATTTGGAAGTAGTTGTTTACCTTCATGTGTGAAATACAGCACATCCTATTACTTCTGTATTAGTAGTAATGGGAGGCTACCTTCCTCACATTGCACCTTATCTAGCATTCCAGTTTCTTAAACTTTTTGATTACTTATCATATAAAGACATGAAATTTAAATCAAAATGTTAAATAATAGAAAATAAGACTTTTATTCTTTTTTTAAAAAACAATCAAACAAAATTCAGAGCTTTGCTGGCTCCACTCTTAGGATGGATTTCAATACAAACCAGTTAGTTGGGCTTCAACGTTAGAAGTGCCAAAAAGATTTGGTAAAATCTGAATTAAGCTCTATAGAAAAGTCTAGGGTAAGTTGACTCGATATAATGAATTAGTTGCTCAGAACATGTATTTTCTCAGGTAACCGGTGACTTCTTTAAAAAAGAAAATAAAGTGGAAATAATTATCAACTAGAAATTAACTTTGCAACAAGAATTATTTTTTTAAAAATACTAGGACTGAGTTATTATATGTGTATATATATACATATATGTATACATATATAATAACTCCTTCAAAACATGTATCTTCCTGTGATCCATAAAGATAATTTACAAGAGCTTCTATTCAAAAGACTACAAAAGCCAATCTTAGTGTTTAGTTAGCCTAAATACATTGTTTAGAGGACCTTCTTATAACTTGGTAACCTGGCTTTAGTTTAATAGGATAAAAATATAGGAGACAAAGCACAGCTGAATCAAATTAATCACCACATAAAGCTGTAATTATTAGAGTACTGGAGTCAAATCCTAATTTAAGTTTCTCTCATGTACAAGTATGGCCAATTTTATAAATAAAATTTAATTCTTATTTAAAAGAAGGAATAACCAAGTTTATTTATCAATTTGGGAATCTGAAATATAAAATGTAACATCAGAAGCAAACAGCTGTTATAAATAAACAAATATTATTATTAAAAGATTAAAAAACTTATAATGCCATTCCACTACTGTCTGTGGCTACTATTGCTAAGAATGCCATTATTAATAATTTTTCATGCAAACTGAACAAAAAAGCTTCAGGTTTATTTCTTTGTTTTGAAAGATCAGATTCCATTATATAGGAAACTCCACATATGGAGAGTTATTTTTTTTGTCAGTCAATGCTCATGTCTTTCTTTCATATTAACTTCCTGATTAAAACCAAAATAAGAACCTACGACTGGATAGATTTATCTGATTCCTTGTCACAAATATACCAGATTTCTAATAACGGAAGTGTTTCTGCCTGCCTGTGTGCAAAGAATCTGCAAACAGAATATTTAATGAATCTTAAAACCCAAGCTATTGTTCATTGTATCAAGGTCTAGTCAAACAAGATTTAACTGTATTCAGAAACATAATGGGATGTTCCAGAGCATCTTTTCTAAAAAGTAAACTCCTTTTGCAGAGAGAAATGAGTTTTTAAAATGAGGTTCCTACTTGGGGGAGGATTAAAAAGAGAGGGAAGCAATTTTTGAAAATTATGTACACTACTCCTTACTAGCATTTGGAACATCTCTTCATAGGGAACATTCAGCTAAAATTGCCACTCCTCCCACACCCTAACTCCCATAAAAGAAGTGAGCCATAATTATGACTCAAGCTAAGGTTGGACCCCAGCCCTAGGAAAAGCCATTACTTAGTTATTTGGGATTTGCCCTATCTGGGGATAGATGGATTAAAACTCAGACTGACGTTTCTTATGTTCTAAATCAGTGGTTCTCAACCTATGCGTCAGGACCCCATTTGGGGTCGAACGACCATTTCACGGGGGTCGCCAAACAACGCAGTCCGCCATTTTCCCCCCCCTTTTCCTTAGCTGTGCTACTCCCTTTTATTCTATTGGCTTTTGAAAGCCAATAGGAATGGTCCAGGCAGTCTCTGCCCTGCTGAGACCGCCGAAAGTCCCATTCTGCAAACGGTGCTGTGAAAGCGAGCTGTCTGGAAGTTTCCACCCCTCCCTGCTGAGCAACTACTAAAAATGTAAGTAAAAGAGGGCCAGGGGTGGGAGGTGGGAGGCCAGCGGGTGCAGGGAGGGTTGCTGGCGTGCGTGGGGCCCGGCGGGTGCCTTACCTCCCTTGGGCTGGGCCAGCTGGTGGTCGGCCTGCGCAGTCTCTGCCGCTTGCCAGCTACACCTCAGCTGGCGCAAGGGGCAGCACCACGCATGCGCGGCGCTCCTGGGCAGGGAAAGTCCTTGACTTACGATCGGTTGTTTAGTCCTCGACTTATGACCGGTTGTTTAGTCCTCGACTTATGACCGTTGGGGGGTCGCGGCATTAAAAAGGTTGAGAACCACTGTTCTAAATCAAGTTGCAATAGCATCAATATCAGTAAGAATCCTTTGCTGTTCTTCTGGTTGATAGCTGTAACTTATCTTTATAATCTGTATCTCTACATTCTGCCAATATCACACACCTGTCTTTATAATTCTGAATTCTTAGTTCTAAAACCACACTGATTTGGAAGATGTTACCTTCCATTCAGCAAATAAAGGTACACAGTGGAAATGAATGCAAAATTTTTACATTTGCAAAAACCATTCCAATTTTACACAAATGTTTATGAGGAAGAATACTGAAAAAATAGGTAGTCAGTCTTTAATGCATTCATTCCTCCACCCCAAGTTATTTTTGCATGCATGGAATTAAGGTGGATAACTGACAACTGAAATTATTGGTAACATTTTAGCAGACACTGGAACTATTGAAGACAAGTATGTGTTGTATTTCTTATCTGGCCAGGAGTCAGTCAGTAAATCGCCATGCATGAGCTGATTTCACATTCCACCATCCACTAAATATGGATTTTCTTAGGCACTGTCACTGCCATGTAGAACAGAATTAAATAACCTCCCTTCCTTATCCTGAAATGTAAGGAAATCTCAATAATCACTTAAATTACATTCTCAAGGGTGATCAGCATACAGAATATTTTCATTATGCTATATCTAAACTTTTCAGCTTGGAATGGAATTACCTTCATAAATGGAGATATAAGTACACCTCAAAACAGAATACCAATCTGTTACTAGCAAAAGTGCCATTGAAACAGCAGCATACCCTGAAATAATCCAGCTGTCATGACATACAACCACATTCAGGACAGAATACACACATCTCAAATATCTAGAACACTAGAACATCAGATAACAGCAGAAAGTTTGTAGGCTCCCCAAAAGCAGTTCCTCATTAAATAGGTATTTTATTTATATTTGTTCAGACTCTATCCACTCCTTTTAGGAAAAAAAAAAAATCTACGTTCATGTTTCCAGAAATTCCCACAGGGAGAGATAAATGAGGCAGCTAGTTTCTCCCATCTCCATTTGTTTCTGGGTTATAATTCCAAAGTGACTGCAAGTATCTGCAGGGTTTTTTTTTTATATATTAAAATAGAAAAAAATGAAGCAATGAGGGTGAATTGCTGGTTCAAACAATACTTGAGAGTCTCATTACTCCATGGTTGGACTGATGATACTGATAAATTCAGAATTATAAAAGGTGCTTTTACATGTAATAATTTACACAATAGGAGAATCATCTTGGTTCATTTGTGCTATAATGAAGGATCTGCTGGCCAATTGCAGACTAATGGTAGCATGTCTGAACCCCGGTTGCACTAGAATTCATCTTGTAAACATATGACAATATTGGAGCAGGGTTTGTTTTAAAGACAGTTTTGTTAATAGCAATTTGCCATTTCCTTTGTTGACTGTATAGTGTTGGAAACCATGTTATGACTTTGTAGACATCAGAAGTGCCTTCTGTTTATTACCGTTGTCTGGTAGAATATGGAAAAACAAATCTTGAGCGTTCTCCTTTAGTTAGCAAGATGTCAGACTTTGTTAACAGGGAACCGAAGTTAAAAGTTAGAAGTTAGATTTAAAAATAAAATTGGAGCAGGGAAGTCTTCAAAAGCTTCAAGTATACAGCTGGTGGGAGGAACAGAAGACATCTGTCTGGTCGCAACTATCTGCAGAAGGTCTTGTTATCTTTCATGGATGAGCACGACTTCCACAAGATTCCCTAATTCTGTCAAAAATAAAAATGTAACTGTCATGGCAAGTTTCTTGTAACTTATAATAGTGACAGTACAGACTTTCCTTGGAAAACTATGCATCTTAGATTTCTTGGAAGTAATCCTATTTTCTTCAACATCAAAGGAATCTCTTTCACTGTGACAACAAAGGAAATCAGAAGGAACTAGGGAAAGAGCCTTTGATGATTCAATATTTGGTGAGAATTTAGATACAAAAAATTAGAGGGACAAGATGTTTGCCCTGAGATTTTGTTCACAGAAATACAGCAGGAGTAAAGTCTGTATAAATTCAGGATTTTCTCCTAAGCAAAAACTAGAGTGCCTAGAATTCATTAACTATATTTTATTTATTTATTTGTTTTCTATTTCTATTTGTTTGATTTATGAAGAATGATCTAAAAAAAAGATAGTGTCCTTTCCTACGTGACTCTGTCAGCTGCTTTCACTTAGTAGCCCAACCATAATCTCCTAGCCATATTAACATATATAACTTTAAAAAGAAAGATCTAATACAAATAATCATCTTTGAGGTAATATAGTTACCCTGAAGGTATGTAAGGCAACAGCAGCACAGGAAATTAACTATATAAGACATTCCATTATATAATTACGCACTAAATTCTTATTCCTCCACTAATTGTAGCATTTTAAAGTCTTTTACAAGTATTACATCTGATCCAATACCTTAACAATAGTATTTTCAATTGTGTGCATTCTGTTTATGTGAAGAGAATAGTTTGACAAAAGACTTAGAATTAACAAGTGAAGAAAAGTCTTCCTCAGGACTTTTGATAAATAGAAAAAAATTAATTTAGAGAGCATTAGAAATGGGATATCTGGTTACATATAATGGAAGGGGCGTTGTCTTACCTGAACGCCTTTTCTCAGCATGATGATGTAGAATCCACCGGTGGGTAATTTCAGCCTTCCTGCTCAGATGAGACTAAGTCAGAACTTTAGCCATGCCTCCCTCTGGGTGTGTCTTCCCAGTTATTGACGAGGCGAAGTATCCATGATGAAGTCTGGCACAATGGCTCCAATAATCATGACACCTGCCCAGACTACCTTAACGGGAGGGTGTGGATTCTACATTATCATGCTGAGAAAAGGCGTTCAGGTAAGACAACGCCCCTTCTCCAGCATGATGAATGTAGAATCCACTGGTGGGACGTACCAAAGCCGCTCATGTCTCTACGGGGAGGGAAAAGTCTAGGCTTGTGTCCCGAGAAGAAACTACTTGCTGTAGAACCCGTCTACCAAATGCATTGTCCGCCACTGCAAACCTATCAATCTTGTAAGGACCACGTCGCTGCCCTACAGATCTCCTCAACCGAAGCCTGGGTGGACCAGGCCGCTGATGCAGCTGCGCTACGCATCGAGTGAGCCGTGATGTGTGTAGGAACTGGAAGTGACTGAGAAAGATAGGCCCGAGCAATGCATGCTCTACCAATGGTGGAAGAGGAGACCTCTGACCCATGGCGGAGGGCTGAAAGGACACGAACAAGGCCTCTGACTTGCGAAAGGCCGAGGTTCGCTTGACATAGTGGCGCAGAGCCCTGCGCACATCCAACTTATGCCACTGTCTTTTCCGATGATGTGATGGATGAGGACAAAAATTTGGAAGAACCAGATCTTGGGACCTATGAAACCATGTATTGACCTTTGGAATAAAGGAAGGGTCCAATCTGAGGACCACCCTATCCTCGAAAAACATACATAAATCACTCCTAACTGAGAGTGCGGCCAATTCTGAAATCCACCTGGCTGAAGTGATAGCTACTAAGAATGCCACTTTCAAAGAAAATTAAGAGAACAAGACCTGAGAGGTTTGAACAGAGGAGAGGTTAAAGCCTGTAACACTTTAGGCAAGTCCCAAGATGGATAGCGATGCACCGCAGGTGGTCTAGAATTAACCGCCCCTTTCAGAAAAGCACTAACTGCCGGGTGTTGCGATAAAAGAACCAAGTTGTCACAGGTAAGAATCGTTGACAAAGCCTCAACCTGCCTGCGGATGGTACTAGGTGATAAACCCTTATTCAAACCTTCCAGCAGATATTCCAATATGCTAGGAATGGTGACCGATAGCGGCCTGAGCTGTTGCTTAGTGCATCACGTGCAGAAGTTCCTCCATGTGGCATCATAAATCCTATTAGTCGAGGGACGCCTTGAGGCTTGAATCATTGAGATCACGCCGGACGAATAGGATTGCCTACCTAAACTTTCCTGCTCAAGTGCCAAGCGGCCAACTGGAGCCACTGTGGATCTGGATGTTGAAGATTCCCTTGGCTGAGAGTCACTCGGTCCAGGGGAATCCTCCACGGTGGCAAGAGCGATAGATCCACAAGGTCGGCAAACCACAGACGCTGTGGCCAATGTGGAGCAATTAAGATTATCTCCACCTGTTCCTGAATCAGTTTGCGGATAGTTGCCTGTAACAACAGGAGGGGAGGAAAGACATAAAGCAGGCCCTCTGGCCACTTGCACCGGAGGGCATCCGTTCCCTCCGCCCCCCGTGTCGTGAACCTGGTGAAGAACCTGGGGAGTTGGGTGTTCATCGGGGAGGCAAAGAGATCCAGATGCGGATGACCAAACCTGCTCGAGATTTCCCTGAACAGTGCCGGGTCCAGGTGCCACTCCGAGTGGTCTACTGTGACCCTGCTCAGGGAATCTGCTTGTCAATTTGCCTCCCCCGATATGTGTTCTGCCCTTACGGAACCCAGAGTGGACTTTGCCCACAGACCTAGATCCAAGGCCTCCTGCATGAGTGACCATGACCAGGTTCCTCCCTGTTTGTTGACGTGAGCCTTGGCTGCCACATTGTCTGTCAGAATCAGGATGTGCTTTCCCGACACTAGGGAGGAAAACCGGCAGAGTGCTAAGGGTATGGCTCTGAGTTCGAGCCAATTTATGTTGTGAGCTAAATCCGACCGGGACCACTGTCCCTGAGCCAGATGAGTCTGAAGATGGGCGCCCCAACCGAACAGACTGGCGTCTGTAGTCAAGGTGAGCCTGAGAGGCTCCTTGAAAATGGTCCCCTTGGTCATTGCGGATGAAGCCCACCATAGAAGAGATAACAGAGTGAGGTGAGGAACCCTGACCTTTCTGGTGGATGCACTGAGGTTCCATTTCTGGAAGGGAAGGAGGAACCACTGAAGGCTTCTGGAGTGAAGTCTGGCCCACGGAACGATCCCCATGCAAGAAACCATCTTTCCCAGGAGTTGAGACAGCTGGACCAGAGGCACTGCTTTCTCTCTCCAAACCTGGTATACGAGCTTTCGGATGCTAACCCGACGCTCCTGTGAAAGATAAACTTTGCAAAGATCTGACTTTATAAAAATCGCCCCTAGATGAAGGAGGCGCTTTGTGGGGATCGTGTGGCTCTTTTTGAAGTTCACGGAGAACCTATGAACCTGAAGTGTATGTATTGTGATTCCCAGGTCTGACTGAGCTGACTGGAAGGAGCTGGATTGCACTAGAATATTGTCTCATAGCATTGCACGCGCACTGGCATCATCCTGAGGTGGGCTGCCAATACTGCCAAATTTTTTGTGAAAACCCTTGGGGCTGAAGAGAGACCAAAGGGAAGAGCCCTGTATTGGTAATGCCGATGTGCGTAACAAAACCGAAGGAACCTGCGGTGTTCTGGAAGTATCAGGATGTGTAAGTATGCCTGTCAGGTCTATGGAGGATAGGAAGTCCCCATTTCTGATGCTGGCCAGAATGGACTTTAGGGTCTGCATCTTGAACCTTCTGTAGGTCAAGAAGTAATTCAGACCCTTTAAGTCCAGTATCGCCCTCCATCCCCCTGAGGCTTTGGGGACCACGAACAGAATGGAGTAAAACCCCTCTCCTACCTGATCCTGTGGTACATGTTCTATGGCCTTGATTTCTATCAAATGGGAGATGGCCGTGGCTACTAACTCTGCCTTGGTTGTGTTTCGCAATACTGGGCACTGTATGAAACGATCTGGAGGAGGTGAGTAAAACTCTAGAGTGAGACCGTGTTTTATGGTCTCTCTGACCCAAGAGTCGGTGATGGTGACCTCCCAAACATCGCTGAACCGTGCCAGGCGACCCACTATGGGGGAGTCCTCCTTGGCGTCACTTGGACCGCCTGTAGGGACGGCCCCTGGAGCCCCGGAAGGGATGCTTGGACTGGAATTGGCCCCTGGTTCCTGTGTTCTGGCGGTCCTGTTGACGATCCTGCCTGGGAGGAAAGGATTGCGAGCCTCTGGGCCACTCCCAGGACTGCCCGGTCCGAAAGGGCTGCCTCCACTCCCAGGAACCACTGGGACGGAAAGTCTGCCTGCGAAACTCCTGCTGGGGCCGCCTATCCGACCTTTTGGAGGGGTGTGCCAGGATCTTACGTTTGTCCTTGCCCTCAATTATGTGTGGTTCGAGGACTGAACCGAATAAGTGTGTACCACTGTACTTGGCCGTCGACAGACGCCACTTGGACTTTAAGTCAGTCCGCCACTGTTTCAGCCATAGTAGTCTCCGAGAAGCTACTGTGGCTGCAATAGATCTAGCGGAATACCTGGCCGAATGAAGAGAAGCATCTGCCATGTACTCTGAAGCTGCCACTAGCTTCCCTAGTGTCTGATGTGTCCGAACCTGATCAGGGGGAATGAGTGCCTGGATTTCGCGGAGCCACATGATTGATGCCCTTGCGAAAAAGGAAGATGAAGTCGCAGCCTTAATTGCCCACGCCGAGGCCTGGTGAGCTCGGCGAAGGGAGAACTCGAACTTCTTGTCCTCTGCCTTCAGGGCCTCAGCCATATCCCCTGGAATTGCAGATGTGGAAAACAAAGAAGTTAGAGGAGTATCCACAGAAGGCATCTCTAAGAGGGAAGCAAAAGAAGAAGAAACGTTGTAAAGTTTCTTTTCTGTACTACTGGGAGAAGGTAACGTAGCCAGAGATGTCCACTGTTTCTCCACCGTAGTACGAAAGATGTGCGGGCAAGGAATCTGCTTCTCCTCTACAACCTGTTCTGCGAACAAGGGGTTAGACTCTTGGCTGGTGGATGTGGAGGGTTTCTCTTCCTGTACTGAAGTGAGGTTGGCAGTGGTACAGGCCTTCATAAGTAGAGACCTGAAGAGAGAAGGGTCAAAAAGACCCGAAGTTGACACCTGTTCAGGCGCTGCCTCCTCATCCTCTGACATGGGCATGTTGGCTATCTCCAGGTCCATTGACCCCTCCTCCCCTAGCTGGGAGGAAGTCTCAGAGATGCCAGAACCAGGGACTGTGGCATGTCCCACTTGAGAAGGAGGTATGGACGGAGGCGGTGGTGGTTGCAAAGGTCCTTGTTGACTCCTAGAGGATGACATAAATTGCATAAATGCATGGTGCATGAATGCCTGGAATTGCTTTTCTGACCATATATCCCATTGTTCCATAGAACTAACCCCAGCCTCCGCTGAGGCATACATGGCCTCAGGACCCTGCTGTATAGAGGAAGATGAGGAGTGAGTGGGACCAACCTATTCAGTTTCCCCCTGAGGAGACCATGCCCGAGGGGCATCATGCGAAGGCGCAAATGGAAGCTCAAATGGAGAAATGTCCAATGGAACGGGGGGAACCACTTCAGCTTCACTGGACATGAGCCTTTGGGCTTTGGAGAATTCCCTCTCCAGCGCCTGATGTCTCCTCGAGGCCTCTCGCTTGGCTGCCTTGGAGGTCTCTTTGATGGATAAGTGTTTTGTCTTGGCTTTTTTCTCCCCCCCTCCCCCCGTGTCCAAATTAGTTGATCTACGCTTTGTTTGTGCGGGGGGGATACCAGAGCCTTGTGATGCCTGGGATGAGGAACTGTCTACCATTGCAGTCTGGATAATCTGGGTAGGAGATATCCAGAAGTGGGGGGAACCCAAACACACAGATCAAGTTGTCAGAGATGGAAAACCGATCCTCGCTCTGAACAACAGCAATGGCAAAAGACAGCCAGACAGTTCCCTAAAAGTGCCTGTCTAGGCCTTGTAGCAGAGTGCCGCAGACTAATTGGAACAGGTGGTTCTGAAATAAATTTCCCCTTCGCTCAACTCACACAAGTATGAAGGATATGTAACCTGAACCACAATGAGTAGTTAGAACAATAATACAAATACAATGAGGTGATCACTGCTGATTCTCCTGATAACACACCAATTATCCTGAAAAGATGTTGAAATGTTTCCCCCCAGTACAGGCCTGACACAGCAGGCCAAGGCAATAATAAAGCAGGCCCCAAAAGAGCTCAGAGGAACACGAGGTCCCTACAAAATGGTGTCCACGCCTATAACACTCTCAAAATGGCGGCCGCATCCTGAGCACGCGTTCAAAATGGCGGCCGCGCCTGTTCAGTGCCTCCTAAAAATGGCGACAGCACCGAAAATGGGGAAGAGAAGGTAAAAAATCCCCTACTAGGGAGAAGCTTTAAGAATCAGCCAAGCTAAGTAAAGCCCTCTTTCTCCCCCCCCCCCTGTTCACAAGAGGCACTTGCTGTTGATCACGCAGCCTCCGCTGCGATCCGAACTCTTTGCTGCCGAGAGAAGCCTCGTGGCCTCGACGAAGATGGAAAGGGAAGCCCTCCGGTCTGCCTGAGCTCCAAAAAGACTCTGTTCGCCACAAGCCAGCTGACTGGATGCTCTGCGCTCCCGCTGATCCGCTCTATCGGAGCTGAAAGCTCCACCTGAGATCGGCCTGCAGCCTTCTCACAGGGGCCTGTTAGGCTCAAAGCCAAAAGGCCTGAGTAAAATTCCAGTGCCAAATTTAGTCAAATTTGAGTCCAAATTTAAATAAGGAATAAACACTCCAATTTAGAGACTGTAGAATGAATTAAATTCAATTAGCTAATCAATTAACCTAGTCTAACTGAGGAGCCAAAAGATTTGCGCCCTACTGAGCTGAGACTAAGTCAATAACTGGGAAGACACACCCAGAGGGAGGCGTGGCTAAAGTTCTGACTTAGTTTCATCTGAGCAGGAAGGCTGAAATTACCCACTGGTGGATTCTACATTCATCATGCTGGAGAATAAGCTTTGTTCGTTACGGATATTCTCCATTCTCTAATTTACTGCAATCTACAGTTTAGCTAGAGATCTCACTGACTTTATCGCTGGTTGGTAAAAAGATTTTGATTTAATACCTGGAAGAGCTACGCTCTTTGCTCACACAGTCATCGTGAGAGGTAGTATCACCATTTCCCATCATGCTGCATATTCTCCGCTTTTTTCTTCGATGGACCATTCCTTCAGTTTCAGAGCTAGAATCGCACTAAAGAAGAAATAATGTCCTGAATTTCAAAACTGCAATTTTTAAAAGGCTTCATCGGAAAAAGCTACGACATTTGAGGAATAACATCCAGTACTAGTCCTCACTTAACAGTCATAATTGGGATAAGCAGCCGTCATTAAATGAAGTGTCATGCGACTGTTCCACTGAGCAATAGAAGTTTTGGCAATCCTAGCTGCTGTTATCCCACAGTCATTAAGAGAGGACTCACAGGCTCCAAGCCATTCTTGGAAAAAGGTTAGGGACTGTCTCGGCTTGAACTCCCTCATCCACCTATTCCCCCCTCATCTCTATCCATTTGGCTGCCCATCTACCCTACTGTCACCAGCCCTGCCTGTCACCCTGCACACTGTTATTCTAAATGAACACAGCTCCTGGCAAATGCATGAACAAAGACCCTGGAGCAAAAGAAGGCCCTGGCTGGTACAGCAGTGACATATGTTGTAGTGGTGAACCAGGCCACATGGTAGTAAAGTAGGCAGGCAGCCAAAAGGCAGTCATAAATGTGGGTGGCATTGCAATGGACCAGTTAACAGCACCACTGTTAATTATGAATGGTGGCCGAAAAAATGGACATTAAGCAAGGACTACCTGCATGTTTTTCTCCATCCAGAAACAAAACAGGGACGGTAGAAAATCCTTCATCTATAATTAGTAGCTTTGTCTTGCTAGAGTTTAGCTTGAGCCTGATCTCTTCCATCCAAAATCACACAACCTCCAGGCTATGGCAGGACTTCAAGAGTGTCTCTGACCTGGAGTTACAATATTCAGTTAAATATCATCATCATACTGATAATTTTGGACTCCAAACTGTTGGATGATTTCACCTAGCAGCTTCATGCAGATGTTAAGCAACAAGGGAGAGAAAAAGTACCTGTGTGGCGTCTCACAAAAGAGCAACCACAATGCTATTCTCTTCCTTGCAACTACCAACAGTTGGCATTACAAAGGAAGCAGCAGAACTACTGCAAAACAGTGTCTCCAGTCCCCACCATGGTCAATTATACTGAAGGCTATTAAAAGGTCCAAAAGGACCAGAACAAGCAAACTATCCATGTCCAGGTACTGATATAATTCATCAACAAAGCAACCAATCTCTGTCAACTCTATCCATTGCCAGGGTCTGAATCCTGATACCAAGTCCAGATAACCCAGTTCTTCTACTGTGCTCTGTAGTTGATTCCAGACAAATGTCTCAATACCTTTTGCCAGAAAAGTAAGGTTGGAGACCAGGTGATAATTATCTAAGACCTTCAGATCCAGAGAAGATCTCTTGATGAGGGGATGACTAATACCGGTACCTCCTTAAAGGCTGCCGGCATGAAACCTGCCTGCAAAGAGGTGTTCACAATTTCCCAGGTCCACAGAATTACCACACTCCCCAAAGAACCAGGATAGGCATGGATCCAGATCACAATAGTTCAGGACATTATAGAGAGAACCCTATTCACTTTGTTGGAAGTGATAGGATGAAAAGAAACCCAAGTAACTTGCCAAGGTAGTCCAGATTAGAGGCAATTTGAGGCAACTATGCTGCAAAGTGCAAGCAAACTAGACATAACAAACAGCAGAATGGCCCTTACCCAGAACGGAGTTGGACATCCAGAAAAGGGCAATGCAGTAAGAGAGAAGACATAATGATATTCTGCCTGTCCATAACCAAGTTGTAGGTGTCTTATTATAGACAGAGCTGGCCTTAACCAGTACCAATTTAAGACCAGCTGCCTCAATTAAGTCCCCAAGTAGAAGCAGCCAAAATGGAAGAAAGGACCACTAACATACTGTAGGCCCCTCTTTCCCCAACTTTAAGCTTAATACTCAATCACTCTTTTGTGGTCTATCAATGGTTTACTATGGAGGGGGGAATGAAATACCCTACTTGGAGGAGGCCATAACAGAAGTATGAATGCCATTTAGATTTGGTCATGTGCAGTTTGTCTCTAAAATATTTTTTCTGAATATGCTAATTGGTGGTACAATCGGCAGAAGCAGAATTTGCAACCTCAGCTGAAATGAACAACATAGATCTTTCAAGATACTGTCCTCCAGTAGCACACAGGACAGGCAGATCCTTCTCAGGATTTCTTAAGATTCAATTGATAATGTCACTGATTTTGGTTGAGAACCTTATCTCTCCTCTTTTATGGACAGTTTTGATTTTTGTCTTTATATATGGCTATAGCTTGGGTTAAACAGCAGTTGTTGTTTAGTTCTTATGTAGGTGTATCTGCAGCAACCCAATCCTTACCTCTGAGTCAGAATCTGAAGAACTGGAGCTGGAAGAACTAGATGAATCACTAGAACTGTCTGAAGCAATGCCCGTTGATTCTTGTAAGTCAACAGAATCAGCTAGTACAGCTAGTTCAGGATGTTCCTGCTTGAGGACCCTTGAGATGTATAAATAGAGGATAAATGCATTATGTTTTAAAGCGATAAGGAGGATAAATGCCACATATCTTACTCTTTACTTCATAGGCCACTCAGAACATTTTTACAGCATAACAAAAAAATAACAAAAATATGTCCTGCTCTCCTCCTCAAGCAATAAATTAAAAAGGAGCGACTTAGTAAAGGCTAGATACACAAACTGGGGCATAAAAATCTTTGTTACCAAAGAAAAGAAGAAGTGATCATCTCAAAAATGTTTGCTTTGCCAGATCACTATCCATCTCGGGGCAGTTTTGCTTGAGACTTTGCCAAGGCATCTTCCCAGAGATCTGCCCAGTTGGATGGATGGCAGCTTACTCTGCTCTCTCAAAATTCAGCTTTCACTGCCCATTTTATTAATTTAGGAAGCAAAATATTCCACTGGTGAAATCAACTTTTTTTCCCCCTATCGTCCTCATTTTAGGTCATTTTTAAAGGGTTTCCCGAAGTGTTTAATTGGCATTAAATCCACCCCCCACCCCCATAGGAATTGGCATTTGCACACAATTTATGGAATATCAAACTACTACAGCTATAAAATATTGATTAGGTATCTCAGGTAGCTAAGTGAAATCAGTAGTGGGATACACAAATTCTGTTCTTAAGACATGACCCAAATTAATCCAACAACAGGATATTAATATTATTATTAAAAATATGAAGCTGCTTACCAAAAATATAACAAGACAGGGCTATTGCCTGCATGGACCTACTGGATCTATTGGTTTTCCAAAGACCAAGTGACAAATTGTTATGGGAGTGTAATGTCTAGATCTTTGGTTTGATCTAGCAATGCTCGGTAGGAAACAAAAGACTATTCCTCTGTGAAAGTTTAGAAATGCTGGAGCTAGTTGGGATGCATTTATACACGCAGCAAAGTTAGGAGGCTTCACCTTTAATTTTATTGATTTAATTAAAACATTAAAATAACTTTAATCAGTAATCACTTTAATATTACTTTTGTGCTTAATAACTGAGTGATCAAACATTCTCAGCCTTACAAGTATAACTTTTAAATATATAGTTGAGTCACCTTAATGAATCTTGAAATCCAGAAGCCTAATTCTTCTTCTGGACTCCATGGACCATGTTGCTATTACAAGCCAGACTGCCCAGAAAGTCTTTCCAAAATGCAAAAAACTTAATTAGATTTACATTTCACATATTACATTAAGCATTATTCCAGGTGTCTGCATTGCTCTAGGAAGCAACAACTGGCTTATCCAACCAGCACCTGGGAAATCATTGAAGTAACATTGATGTCTCTCACCTGTACCATTTTCTGGATAACTTCGGTCTTCCCCTCACTGTCTTGTGCCACACCACAGGGAAGTTTGTACAGCTGGCAAAATTCTGAGTGACAGCAATAGTCGTGTCAAGATTGAGAACAACATGCCACCAGCCACCTAGAAATGCAACACTGTGGAAGCTTATGATCATCAACAGAAGAAAATACATAAATCACTGTTTTAACCGTAACTTTACAATCAATAAATAGCTTGTTTGTTTTACATGTTTTCTTTGTAATACATCCCAAAGGTCTGATCATCAATAGCAACTAATTCTGTATTAAATTAAATTTCCAACATAAGTTCTCCTTTTAGTTTTCCTTATATTGTAGAGAATGTTGAATTGGGTAGACAGTGGAACAGATAAGGGGAAAAGGCTGTCAAACTTGTACTCCTTTTTATGTAAAATCCCAGTGCAAAACAACAGATGCAGGCTGAAATTATCTGCATAGAAAGGGGACTATATCATACAACCTTTTCCACCCGTGTTTATCAGATGACTGAATTCTCTAGACAATAGGACTTGGGGATAGAGACTAGGGAATATATATAAACACAGGTTGAGCCCTCAAGCCCCCTTAAGGATTTTAGCTCAGGAAGCAGGTCATAGAAGAGAAACAGCAGACAAGAACAAATGGTTGACATATCAGAAATTATTGGAAAACCATCAAGGGGAATGAAAGAAGATTATAATGTCACTTTTGAGAGACAGAGGTTAAAATATAATTGTACTTGTAACTCCTGTTCGTATTTTTTTTTCTATTTTTCATTTTTTTTCTTGCATTTCTTGCCTCTTTTTTGTCTATTTATTCCCCGATTTATATTAGTTTGCATAATTTTTATCTTTTTTAAAAAAATTTCAATAAAAATTAAATACAAATGACTTTTCTAGACAGTAGATTAAAATATTCATAGGATATACCACACTTTTGTCTGATGAAATTGGTTAAAATTACATATCATTAAATTTTCCAGCTTTTAATTATCTTTAATGCCAGTGAAAATTTGGTGCTGGAATAGTTTGAGTTTAAATAAAGGTGGAATATTTTGTTAAAGCACTATTAAAATATAGTTAATAAAATAAGCAAGCACTAACACAGAACATGACTGAAATCCACATTCAGTTTCTTGTGAACTGAAGATATCATGCATCACAGTAGACATTATTAAACCACAACAAATTATCCAATTTTAAGCTGAAAATATGTGACTGCCCAAAATCACTCAATGAATTTCCATGGGTAAGTGTGGATTTGAGCCTGGGTCTCCCTGGTATCATACCAACATCATAATGATTATACAATTTTTAGTAAGTAAAATTGTTTAATCAGATTATTGGCCATAGGGCCGTGGTGGTGAACCTGTGGCACGCGTGCCACACGTGGCACGCAGAGCCCTCTCTGTGAGCACGCGTGCTGTCGCCCCAGTCCTAGGCCTTCAGCTGGGTTTTATAAAACCTTTCCGCTTTAGGCCTCGCTGCCGTGTGCAAAAAAAAAAAAAAAAAGGGTTCTATCAATTAATTTCAACTTCTTGTGGGGGAAAAAAGATCTTGCAAAGTTGGAATTGATTGATTGAACTTTTTAGTCCCACCCAGTCTGCCGTTACCGCAGCCACGCCCACCCAATGGGCCACACCCACCCAATGAGCCACGCCCACCCGGCACCCAACGATACATAAGGGGTTTTGGGTTGCAGTTTGGGCACTCGGTCTCTAAAAGGTTCGCTATCACTGCCATAGGGACTTTATTTCCATTTCATGAAACTCTGAAAGGACAAGGAAAATTACTTCTCCCAACTATGTAAAAGATATCATAAAATGAACATCTACTTTGCACATGTGGCTATATTAATGCACTGAAGTAACTGATTTTAAAGAAATTAAGAACGATCATCCTGTCAATTCTCTGATTGCACTAATTAAGGTGTCTGTCACTCAGAAGACACTATTCATGGATTTATTCACCATAACTTCCATGACATTTTAATTGTTTAGAGAGTCCCTATTTCAGTTTCCTTTCTGAACAACTCACTTTATATTAGGTTTATTCATCTATCCATGTGTCATGTTTCCTTTATGTATTGGATATATAAAGAGAAGCCTTTGCAGCTTTTCTAGACCCTTTGATTTTAAGGAATGGCATCTGTGTTCAAAGGCTTAGGGATCTTCATAAAAAGATTATCTCATTAAAAGTATATTCTTCAACAGGAGAGGTAGACAATCTTTGATCACTTCTTATGAATTTAATTAGGAGTCCTAAGGTCTGCAGTAAGCAGTGATTAATACATAGCTTGCCTCCCAAGACAAAGGTGCTCCTAAGCTTATGGTCTTTTAAAAGTTTGTGAAATTCTGGGTCTAAAACAGCTTTGGAGATTAAGTGTACACATTCTTTGTCACCAGATTGATTTCTGCTGTATTATGATACAATATCATATGACCTTGTTAGACACATAGTAACAAAATGTATAAAAATGTAAAAAATAATTATGGCCCCAGAGTCCTCCAGGATATTCTGGTTAGATCTATGAAAGAGGAGGGTTATGCTACATTTTTATAAACCCATACTTGTCCCCCCCCAATCTTTGTTTTGTGAGTGTTAGGATTTTTATCTTTTTCTCCTCTAAAACTTGATTTGGAACTTAGATGGCTCGCCATCTCAAAGCAATACTTTGACCTTATCAAAATGCATCAACAAGAATGAAGAAGGCAGTGGAGGCTGCAAAAAAAAAAAAAAAAGACCAGAGACTGATCCTCCCTACTGTAGAATAAAATAAGACTTCAACATAGAATTTAACAAATACGCATACCTGGCACAAACACAGTCTCTCCAGGTTTTTGTACTATTTCCAAAGGTTTGAACTCTGAAGGCCAAGTGGGAAGTTGCGTTCGGGGGTATATTACTCTGAACCAAGTGATGGCTTCATCTTGCTGGTTGCCTCCTTCTTCGCGAGTCACTTTGATCAGTTCTCTGGGAGTGCTGGTAGGAAAGAGACACCAGCGCTTATGTCCATGGACTAAGGCATTCCAGGCACTGGTTCCCAGAGGGTCAATGTGGATACCTGTTCCTGAACGAGGTGGGCCCATCACAAACCACCTGCAATATTAGAAAACTTAATTATTTTTCTTGTTAACATTTCCCCAAAATAAAGATTCCCTTTCTTTTTCTAAAGCAGATCTATTCTGTTCCACTTACATTCCATTCTGTTCCATTTACAAATATGTATAACACACACACACGAGAAATTGTTCTCTGTAAGTTAGGCTGTTGATTTATTTACCTTAATATTACCCATATAGTGAAAAAGTTTTCAGGAAGATTGTTTCCATATTTCTAGATATAAAAAATAGAAGTCTAACTTTGTAATCCCCTTCCTAATGGAAAATAAAATAGCATTTCAAGACAGCTACATAAGTTTATTTTACCAAATGTGAATCTTGACCACGTGAGGAATGATTTTCAGAATGTCCCATGAACATTCCACCCTGTGAAGAGTTCAAAATCTGAGTTTTTAATGTTGGAGAATAAAAAAAAGAATGCAAAGCATCATTACTAAAAATAACGATGTCAAGAATGGATAGTAAATGTTATTCTATGTTCTTTTTTAACAATCTAACACAATCGTCCAAGAGTATGCCCTACCAGTTATTTCAAAGGCAGAGATGAATAAAATGTTTTATTTCCCTAATGACAGGAGAACCCAACTGTGGACATTGTTGTCTAAACAATAGAGTCCAGAACTGCACAAAAGATGCATTTAAATAGTAATGCGACCGTTATCAGTTGGGTGCTATTCATGTAGTCAGACTGCATTTCCCAGAATCTGTACTCAGTATTGCCTTTTGACCCTCTCAGAGAGTGCTTTATTGGCTAAGACCAATATTGGTAAGAAAAGCGAAAAGACACTGACTGCACAAGTTCACTCTTCTAAAAGCCCTTAGATTTTTTTAAAAACATTTTAATCTGAGTTTTAATTGGCTTCTGAGTTATAGCTTAAATGCAGCTGCTGTTTGGAAAGCCATCCTGTTTTGTAAACAACAAGTGTAAACAACCCTTTTAGTCTTAGTGTGCCTGGACTAAATGTGCAGGACAAATGAGAACAATGGACATTCACTGGTCTATAAGCCAGACTTTTGGTGCTTGGGTTAGCTAGTTTATACCTGTAAGGTGGCCGCCTCTTCTCTCCTGCATATTTGAACAGATCGTCAGTGAAGAATTTGGGTACCCTATAGTCCTCCAAAAGTTTTTTGCGCTTTGGATGCTCCCCATAACTGCTGTCAAATATATAGAGAGGACTATCATCTCGTGTGGTCTCCATGTATTCAATGTAATATTTCATCTTCATTTTCACAGAATAACCATCGTTGTCCTCCCCACACTTGAATTTCTGGTTCCTGTATTTGCGCTTCAGACGTTCCATAGTCCACTTCTCTTGGGCTGACCACCCTGCCTCAGCATTTAACAGGACAACAGGCTTATATGGTTTCTCATATCTTTCAATGAATTCTTCCACTGACAAATGGAGGGCATCTGCTCTTTCCACATTATCCTACAAGAATGGATGAAGAACTACCTTTAAAACAAAGTAACAAAGAATGTAATACAGTAGAACATTAATGAACCTATTAGCCCCACTGAATGAAACCCACAAAGTCAACAAAAATGCTTCAAAATTATGTTAAATTCTTGTTTTCCTTATAAGTTGCATAAAGATATGCAGGCTTATCCAGGTATTGCTAAGTGAAGTGGATTTTATTTTTTAATTTTGAAATAGAAGTGTCCATAATGTATCTTGGGAGATAATTTTTACATGAGGCCATTCTACTGTACTTCCATTCTTATATAAAAAAAAATCTGCCATTTTAATCTTTTAAACTACAGAATCCCACAAAGAACTGCTATTAAGGTCAAGAGAATTTACTCCCAGATAAGCAAATATATAATCAAAATCTTAATGTAAAATGTTTTAAATGACAGCTACCAAACTGACTATTAGTTTTTGCCTGTGACAGACAAATGTGTGAAAAAAATGCTGTTTGATATGCATTTCAAGTATCATACTATATTTCTAAACAAACTTGTGTGCTAAGGTAAATTGGAATTTTATTTACTCTTACTCAGGGATGTCAAACTCAATTTCATGGAGGGCCGCATCAGCATTGCAGTTGCCCTTGGGGGGCCAGGTGGGTGTGGCCAGGGTAGGTGTGGTCTACTGGGTGGAATGGATGGAGTGGGTGTGGCCTATTGGATGGCGTGGCCAGCTCTACATCGTTTGCGTCAAGGGTGCCTGTGGGGGCCTTGGTAGGAGTGGGACAGATCTGAGGGTCTCTGGCAGAAGGAGGTGGGACCAGGGCAAGCGCCAAGGCATGGTGCATTTCTTCATTCCTCACAAAGGGTGACACCTCCCCAGCATGCACCCAGGGGGCGGGGCCAATGCGCAGGGGCTGGTTCCTCGCTGTTTCTGGACAGCCTTGTGGAGCTAAGACTGAATGCATTTCAGCATAGATGGCCACCACAAAATTGTACATTGGCTCCTGGCTGGCCTGGGCCAGGGCCAAGACAGTGGGGGCCATTCCCTCACTGTTTCCAGGATGGCTTCGCGGGCCACATGAAACCACTTTGCAGGCCACATCCCGCCCCCGGGCCTTGTGTTTGACATGTCTGCTCTTGCTCATCAGGAAGAAGGTGCAAAGAATAAACCTATCCCATTATTGAAAGAGCACTTTAGACATGGGCTTTGACGTAATGCTTTGCACTCAGTTTGAAAAGAGCCCTTGGGAGTGCACTGAGGCATGATCACAGAACTTTCCTGTAGCTGTTTAAAGCAGCCACACAAACCTGGAAAAGACTCATCTGCTTTAAAGGGCTGCAGTGAGGTATTACATTTGTGCACATGATCCAAAGTATTACACAAACTCCACCCTGAAAAAAACTTCAGGAACAAGTAACAGACAGGGAGAACAATAAAAAATATTTTGCAATCTAATCTAAAATCATTTAAGAGCCTTATCACAGCTCTTATCCTCAGAAACAGCAAATGGTGATGGAGGTTTTCACAGATGCAACAGATTTTGAAATATGTGCTAGTTACCAAAGTAGCAGATAAAAGTTTTAATTGGGAAAGTAACAGAAAAATAAGGAACAGTAGGGTATGAATTTGCTATTAGAGGTAATCCTCAACTTATGACCATAATTGAGTCTGCAATTTTGATTGTAAGTTTTGATGGTCATTAAGCCGATCACTATGTGACTGCACCTGGTTTAATGACCCTTTTATCACAGCAGCCATAAACTGAGTCCATTATTCACTGTGGAATGTTTTTTTCCAAAAACTGGAAGTAAATACCTGTTTCTGGCAAAAACATTGTAAATCCCAGTCATGTGGCTACTTGATGCCTCAAATAGACCAAGTGCCCAAAATGTAGTCACATGATTGCAGGGGGAGGAGAGGAGTGGGTATTGTAACTTTGAATCCAGGTGATAAGCAGCTTTTCTGGTCTGTTGCAACTTCGAAGGACACTAAGCAATTGGTTGTAAGTCAAGGACTATATTTTCAATCCTAGTAAGGTTGCGAGATAAAATCTTAAAATTAAATAAAATTTATGATGGGAGATGGGGCATTCAAAAGGAATAGGGAAGAATAGTGTTTTCTAAATGTCAGCAAAGTATAAAATAATCTACTAGTTGATCCCTGGGTGATGCATAACACATGCACTAAGACTCTTGACTTCTTACTGTTTAATAATACCAATAATCCCATCACCCCTCCGCTTCTTTTCCAAAAAAAAAAATCAGATTTGTGAAGCAAACAAACCTTGAAGGAAAATCAAGAAAAGTCTGATGGAAAAGAATGGCAATCCTAACTGCAGTCCCAAAAACAAATTTCTCTGGTTGAGAATCTATACCTGAAACTAAAATGGACCCACATCCATATCCTTACCTTCACCTTCCATTATTTTATACTAAAATATCTATCTCACTGACATGAAATTTGCTTAAACACACATATACTGTATTTAATAAGCTGAATGGACAAGTCCATTAAGTGACCATGAGTCACTCAACTTGAATTAGAATTTAACAACTTTATTTGTAGCATGCCACACTGTTACTTATGACAGGTTCATTTCCTTCCCATTTAAAAACTGGACATAATTTAACTCAGCAGTGAACAACCCAATTATTGCTTAATCCTATTTACAGCTACTGAGAATTACACCATATATAATTAAATCCTTGCTATTCTTACAAGATCTACTTTTTATAATTCATCTTTTCTTCACTTTCTATATTTTGTCTAAACCAGGGGGTAGGCAACCTTACAGAAATTCTGGGTGTTGAGGTCCACGAGTCATAAAAGAGCCAAGGTTGCCTATCCCTGGTCTAAACTAATCTATATGTACAGATATTCTATGAAATCTGCTTTACATAAATAACATGTCTTTTCAGCATATCAAAAACATCCTAAAATAATTATCTGCTCCGAACATTTCCCTTTTCTTTACCCCTTTATTAACCCATTCGTATCTATAATTCTGGTAATTTGTGTTTTCTCCTTTGCCTAAAGGGCAACTAGCCTGTGTCAACAACAAGTCTGGCATATCTTTATTTACTTAATTGCAAATCCTATTCCATTTAACCTGACTTAATTCAGAAGAAATACATACAGACTGCACTACCGATTAAAAAAAATAGCATCAAGTTGAAAATACACAAGTGTAGATTCTCTCTCACAAACATTCAATTCTTTTTCTTGTCCAGAAAGTTTCCACAGCAATGAAGTCCCGCTGAATTAACGCACGTGCATTATCATACTCGGCTGCTTTCCCATCACTTTAATGGAAACCCAAACCGTACAAAATATAACTCACGAGGGGAGATTTCAGCCAACCTGCTAAGGACCCTCCTCACCTCGAGACCGTTATCCTAGCCAAAGGGGTCCCCAAATTCTTCAGCTCCGCGACCCCCTTCCGTGAAGCTTCAGATTGTTTATCGACCGCCAAACGTTATATATAAAAAATAATTTAATAATTGCCACTTTAACTAAGAGTACTACGAATAACCATGGCAATAATAAAGGATAGCCCCATCGATCCCTCGGGGTCGATATTGAGACCACTCCGAGGAACCCTGGAGCCGATACAATCCCCAGAGACACGGAGGAAGGGGGGATTAAGTCTTTCGCCCCTCTCAGAGACCAACCTACCCAGCGGGCTCTTGGTGTCGGGAGGATCAACCGAAGAGAGATCGGTCTCTTTAGCCAACCCGCCTTGAGCTGCTGGAGGAAGGGGGCTTATAAAATCTGATGCAAAAGCCGAGCCACCTCTCTTATCAGCATCCCCGGGAAGGGGATTCGATTCCCTCCGGTCCGCTGTGGCTTTCGACGGCCGCCCTTTCCCCGCCACCAACCTTCCTAGACTCTCTCTCCGAGTCCCGCTCACCTTACAGCCCGCCGGGTTCAGCGGGAAGCTCTCGCAATAGTTGTGGCGAGTCCAGTCGAGGGAGTCCTTGAGCTCGGGACGCGCGCTCCGCTTCGCCTCACGGATGCGCTTCTTGCTTTTGTGGTTCATGCTCCCCACGCGGCTCACCCTGCCCTGCCCGGCTCTTCCGGCTACGGATTCCGCGACTGCACCCTCCCGAACAACAGCGCCCCGCCGCTTCCAGAAATGTCACCTCCGCGCCGACTCAGCAGCCGCATCGCGGCCTCGTCGCGACCCGCCTTGGTTCGACCTCCGCTTCCTCCCATTGGCTGGCGCCGACAGGATCTCGCCGACAGACAGCTCTTATTGGTCTTTCCAGCAGCGGAAATAGAGGCGGGCGGCACCAGAGTAGAGGAGGAAGTGCTTCAGCGCCATCTTGGAACGTCATGGCCCCACCGAGAGGCGTCGCTGTTGCGCAACGCGAAGGGCGGAGGCGGGCTCTCAGCAAAGCGCGGAGTTAGGGTTGCCGATTTGCGAGGTGGGTTGGCGGGTGCTTTGTAGTCCAGGAAGGCAGGTGAAGAGGGAATAAACGCTGAAGCAAGGATCGGATTGTTGAAGTATAGCTGCATTTGACATAATTGTTGGTCAACCTGGGTGGAAGGTAGTGCTGGGAGGACTCTTTCAAGTAATGAGATTTTCGTTCACTTTCATAAGAACCTATTCTGTTTAATTCCAAGGTCGTGTGCATAAGCAGCTTGACTGACATACTGGACTTTTATTTCGGGTTAGCAGCGCACACTGAAGGACGGTGGTTTCAAACTGCACAGAAGAGTTCATTCATGCAACAGTTAGGGAGGCGCCGTTTGAGTCTAGACATCAGTGTAGAAGAGGGGTCTTCAAACTTGGCTCTTTTATGACTTGTGGACTTCAACTCCCAGAATTCCTCAGCCAGGCACGCTGGCTCAGGAATTCTGAGAGTTGAAGTCCACAAATCATAAAAGGGCCAACTTTGAAGACCCCTGGCGTTGATTTTTTTTAAAAAAACTGGTTTATTGGTATATGGGACTCTGATTTTTAAATATAATCGGTGCTTTTTTTTCTAAAAAGTGCCAGAACTCACACACCTCATACAACCTGCCTTGCCTACCCTACAAGGTTACATTCCAAAAAGGTGCTGGAACTCCATTCTGGGCGTTCTATGAGAAAAAAAGCCCTGAATATAATTATATGAAATTCAGATTACACTAGCTTGCAAATAACTTCAGGTGGCCTCAATGGATTGCTCTGTAAAGAGTCTCTATGGAGATTCTCAGTGATCCAGGTCATAGTTATCCCAAAGGTGCTTTTTCATGAGGCAACTGGACTTACTTGTTTTTCTTTGAAGATGTTTCTCTTCTCATCCAAGAAGCTTCTTCAGCTCTCTGTAAAGAGTCCCAAATCTTTCCGAGAAAGTGTGAAATTAAGCTCTATTAACATTTCTCAATAGGATCAATTTATCCTGCAGGAATAAACCATCTATCTTGAGTGAGAGAGACGTAAAAATAGCCTGCCGACTGCAGATAAAGTGGGAAAGGAAGGTAACTGTGTTGGTACCATACTTGTTGGCTGGATTTTCATAATTCCTCCCTTCCTAGAAATGGACATTAATTGGCTGTCTCATCTGCAGACATGCTGGAAGAGCCTGACTGCGGATGGCCAATGGGGCTCTATTGATCCTTTGCCAAACCCGGCATGTGCGAGATAGCGTCCAACTTGACTGTGAAGGAATACCGGTTTGGAAGGGATGAGGAAAAGGGAGACAGGAATGACCAGCCCCGGGAATTGGTGGTGATGATTCCTGAGGTACTATTTTTATGATTATGGTTTGTCACCCAGTCAGCCATATGTTCAGACTGGATTTGGCATTATCCACCTATCCAGTTCTTATTATTTGCTAAATGAGAGTAAGGTTTCAACCTCAGGACCCTGGAAGATAATCTAACAACTTTGCATTTCACAGAAATTGCTCTTGAATAATTTTGAAATATTTCTTTTCTAGGTACAGATGCTGTATCTAGAATAGTTTGATGAGCATTGTTTCTTTTATGCTTTCATCCTACAACTTTTCTAAAATGGGTCCATGTTCTAGCTGGGTTTTGGTTTTTCAAACTAGTTTGATGAGCTTAAATTAAAACTTAAATTGTTTATTTCTGCAAGTGAGATGGCAAATTTAAAATGTCAGTAAAGGACTATTCTATTTCAAATACGAATGTGACAATAGAAACAGTATGGTACCCTATATGCTTCTTCAATGTAAAGCTTTTAGACTGCAATGAGGCATATTTTCAAGTGATCATAGGGTTGCAGATGTATTTATTAACATGCTACCAGAATATTTCAAAGTTACATTTGGTATAGTTAATTATCCTGAATCACTTCCCAATGTTTATCACTTGTTAGTGGTCTGATAAATCCTGAAGAGACTCCAGGCCTTGTCTTGATAGCCTTTATTTATGAATTACTGAAGTAAGGATCAACAAATCAATGAATGAAGAATGTTTTCAATAATGGGTACAACAATTTCTTAGGTTTAAGAATTTAAAAATTCTTAAAGTTTAATTTTAAAAATCTTAATGCTCAAATTTATTTTTGTGTACACAAGCATGTCTTATTTCAGTGATATGCCTAGTTGGGTTAAAGCTTCATAACATTTTGAGATTTGACTTTTTAAATAAGGAAATGTGTGCCAGTTTGTGTGCAGGAAGCAATGCATATACCGGTATATTGCTCTCTTAATGCTTTATAATTTGGCTTCCTGACTTTATAGATTAATCTCTGAATATAACAGATGTTTCTGTAATCATGTTTTTTTCTTTTGAAATTAGCTGTAAGGACTTTGATATAATGACAGCAGAAGGCATTTAAATACATTTAAACTTATTATGTTGACCGCTACAATATGTCAATTCCATGATTTGTATTAAAAAAGGCATTCTTGCAACTATTTATGTTATGTTCTTCCAAAGCTAAATCAAATCTATCATAAAGTCATATTCTGGACTGGTATCTGTGTTTGTAAGTCTTGAGTAAGATTAGGCAGATAGAAAAACATGATTTGATTCTAAATAGAAATGGTTAAGAAGTTTAGTGTAAATTTATTTGTCAATTGTTAGGCAACACACACACATACAAACATAAAACAGTAACTTTGGTGTCTTTTCTGTGTGAACCTATAACCATACACTAAGATTTGAAGGAGGAAGTAAATCTGTCTGCATTTTTTTTAGTGGGCTCATGTGCTAGATTTGATTTGATTTCATTGTACTTACATATATAGCTGCATAAATAGTCTCAATTGATCCTGAAAAGATTGATTACAAAATGTAAGTGTTCTAATGAATAATAATTCTTTCAACAGATACCTAGTAGAAAATATACAGCATTTTTATAGTTCCAAATATATTACAGGTGGATTCCAGTTTTCTCTTTGACCTGTGATTTGTATGCAGTTCTAGGACATTAATAGTATTAATAGAATTATTTTACAAACTACTTAAATCCTAAGAAAACAGGAAAAAGCTATAACTAATTTAAATATTTTAATAATTCTTTTAATGCTATCTTATTTTGCAACACAATCTTTTTTTAGGTTCTTGATCCACAGTATGGTATGTATGTTTGGCCTTGCGCAGTGGTTTTGGCCCAGTATATCTGGTTTCATAGAAGACTTGTCTGTGGCAAAAGAATACTAGAGGTAAATGTCACATTATTTTAATTCAGCTATCATAGAATTAGAGCCTTAAACATGAAGGGAAAAAAAGTTCAGTTGGATTAACTTGGGATGAATATTGTACATTCACCCAAAGATCTTTTTTGGGGGGAGGGAACAGAGAAACAAGGATTGTAAATTAGATAAATGAAATGTGAATGGTTACATGAAAATTATATGGAATGATTATTCATCAACAGTAACATTCTTGTATTTACACCAAAATATATGATGCAAAAAAATTACTACTGGTTATCCTTGTTTAGCAACCATAGTTGGGACTGGCAACTTGATCAATAAGCAAAGCAGTCACTAAGTGAAACTGATTACACTTATCTTCTGCTTTCCTTTACTTTACAGATCTGCAAAATTTCCTTTACTTTACAGATCTGCAAAATTCGTAAATGCAAGAACTGATCACAAAGTTACTATCGCTGTTGTAACCAATTACTGTATGAGGGTCACTTAATGAGGACTACCTGTAGTTGCACTGTGAAATTGTATCAAATTTGTTATGAATTTGGACATTATTTTAGGCAAGCCAAAATTCTGCAGTAAGACCAGTGTTACAAATACTGAAGAAATCTCATAGAATATATATTTAGTCGTTCGTGTGTGTGCATATATAGGAAATCCTCAATTTACACAATTGGGATAAAAATTTCAGTCACTAATCAAAGTGGGTCATTAAGCGAGTCATTACCTGACCAGACTTGATTTTGCAACCATTTTTACAGCCATTGTTAAAAAAATCACCATGGTCATTAAGCAAATATAGTTCCTCCATTGATTTTGCTTGTCAGAAGACCAAAAGTTGCAAATATGTGACCACAGGACATTGCAACTGTCATGATCTTGCATTTATGCATACTTCATAAATGCAAACCAGTTCCTAACAGCCCAAATTGCTTGGCTGTAGGGTGTAGTTGTAAAGTCACTTGTTTCAGTTCCTTCTCTTGGACGGTGCTACAGGACATTGTATGCCAAAACTACTTAGGTTTTTTTCCTCGTTCCATCACTCTGCTGAACACCTAATTTTCACAGTGCTAATGTTTATGTAGTGGTTGTAATATTATTATTCATCCTTATTATCCTCTTTTCTCTCCCTTTTATTGGTGATATTCTGTTTTGCATGTACACTGAGTGCTTCGGTATCGGAGGTAAATTCCTTGTGTCTAATCACACTTTGCCAACTGAAGTATTCAGTTCAGTTAAACAACTCAACCATAGTAACTCTGAACCAGTGTTAAATGACTATTTTTGTGTGTGCATAAAGAGAAACAGAACACACAATATAACTTACTTTCTAATGCAATAAAGGCATGGAGAATCTATTTCTGTTGTCCAGCTATCACTTTCTATGGTAGCAGGTGTAAAGATCAAAAAAATATAGGAATCTGAAAATATTAAAACCTGCCTCAAATTTGTAATTTCTCAGATATTTTAGAACAGACCAAATATTAAATGGCTGTTATCACCATGAAACCTGGGACTGTCCATCTCAACCATATACCATTCATGTTGATCCTATATGGCTTGGATAGATTAATCTGCGTTATCAGATATGAAGTTGTATTTTCTATCCCAGGTTTCTTTTGAATAATTAAAAGCAATTTGACCTTACTTAGAATGCAAACCTTTTGATAAAATATCAAAAACTTAGTAATGTCATTTGACAATTCTAATAAACGTAGGTGGGTGGGGAATGAATTTGAATACATTCTATGAATGTTTTGTATTACAGTTGTCACAAATTAGGTTTTATTCTGTTCAGATTGGAGCAGGTGTGAGCCTACCTGGAATAGTGGCAGCAAAATGTGGAGCACAAGTAATATTATCAGATAATGCAGAGTTCTCTCAGTGTTTGGACAACTGCCAAAGAAGCTGCCAGATGAATAACCTCTCTGGGATGTGTGTTATAGGACTTACCTGGGGTCATGTATCACCCAGTCTATTGACCTTAGCCCCAGTTGACCTTATTTTGGGATCCGATGTGTTTTTTGAACCAGAAGGCAAGTGGTCTCTCTTAATATTCATTGTTGGAAATATTCAAGTTTGTGAATAATGGCAATTAAAAAACTCAAGACTTTGTAGGTCCTACTTATACCAACTATTGGGGAAACAAATTGCTCCATTTTAAAGGTATGCAATTCTAAAAGGATGTTACTTTATTAGAAATCTTTGCGCTCAAACTTCATTATTCAAGGATTTACAGCATAAATTATGTCGTTACTAGTAAAATTTGAAAAATGGGATAACTTGCAGTTTAAATTTTATGAAGCCAACTCTGCTTGCTTAGTTATATAGTGTGCACATAGTACTCTTTCCTCTACTTATTCCACATTTGGTTTCAAGACCCCAGCAAGCAGAAGATGGATCGGAATTATTTCAAATACTTTAATTCAGCATTTTTACCATGACACCAAGCTAGTTTCTAAAGCCATAGAAAGATGGTGGAAAATAGCATTTTATCATCTCTATGGTAGAATTAAGATGGTCCCTTATCCTAATGACCAATAGTTACTAGCTTCTTAATGGCGATATTTTTAGGTCCCTGTTATTTTACAGATAAACTGTAAATGTTTTGTAATTTAGGAAAACTTGTCCCAAATTTGTAAACAGACCTGCATTTGAAAATCCCTTTTGCATGTTGATAAGGAAGACTAACTGGAAATTTGACAACAATTAAAAATACTGTTAAAGGTCAAAAATCACAGGACCGAAGAAACGTTAAGAGCAATATATAGTTTATTTCTAATCATACCAAAATGTTAAACTTTTTTTTAGACTTTGAAGATGTTATAAGTACAGTGCACTATTTAATGGAAAAGAACCCTCATGCCCAATTTTGGACTACTTACCAAGTCAGAAGGTACAGTTACTCTCGTTCTCATTGATTTCATATATTTATGTATTTTGGCACTAGAATTAGCTCATTCAAAATCTCTTGTTGCTCACTATTAATTTTTAAGAATTTATAGTTTCTAAATGCTATTGAAAATCCAACTTTGTCCCAAAGCTTTTAAAATTATTTGCTTTTTTCCCCCAGTGCGAACTGGTCTATTGAAGGATTACTATATAAATGGGAGATGGAAAGCACACGTGTGCCATTGCAGTCATTTGAAGCCAACAAGGAACAACTTGCAGGATCTTCTCTTCCAGGGATGCACACTATTCAAATGATGGTTATCAGTAAAAAAATAAATAAATAATAAAGGACTGAAACCTTAGAAACATTCCTAATGTTTTTTTAATGAAAATGTATCAACTGCTTATTTGATAGCTCCATATCGCCTGACCACCACTGGATACAAATCAGTTTCTCAGCATTTTTTAAAAAGTAATTTTATTAATTGTTCATGCCAATACTAATTCTGCTGCATGTTTCTTTTGAATTAAGGATATATATGCATTTCACAGGAATACCAAAAATGTTACTTGAGCCTACAATGTTTTAAAAACAATCTTTGTTATATAGGAGTAAGTCCCCTTAAATAGGACTTATAGGAATGAATTTGCTGGATGAGTGTTATTTAAATTGCAAATTAATATCATCTGTCCTAGTCTAACAGACAAAACTGACTCAAACATCAGTTTTAAAAAAAAAACCTGAACACCAAAAAAGTGTTGCTTTTATTAAACTACAGACACAGAGGTTATAATACAGAATGTTTTAAGAGATACTCCAAATCAGTACTTAAAAGGAATGAATCAAATGCTTTAACATTACATTTTCATATGCAAGTTCACATATGTAGATGGTCTAATTTACCATTCTGGAAAAATAAGGTGTGTATATCACCAGCTAGATGTGCTCACTGTATGCTCCATTATTTTAATGCAAGGCCCGGGTGACTGGAAGTGCAGTTGTCAGGCAATTACAATTAACTGGACAGCCATTTGTTTCTGCACGACAAGGCATCTTTACAGGAGCAATCAGGAGAAAACAGGAAACAGCCAAGCACTCTGCACTGCAACACGCCACCTTAACAGCTAACCAGCATTACTCAACTGCTACACAACTGCGCCTAGTGCACAAAAATACATAAGAGAAGAGATTAGAATTTTGTCTGATAAAAACAAAATCTTTCAAATTAATTTGTCAGCTGCAAAGTTTAATGTTTGACTTGAAGTATTTGCATATGTGCTTGAATTTTAAAAATTCAGAATTGGGAGAACAAAGGCAAGAATTGAACATTTGGACAGCATAAAGCTTTTCAGCATACTACAGCTGTGTATTTAATATTAAACTTGAGACTGCAAGTTATCAGTTTAATTTGCAAACAAGTCAGCACTATATGAACAAAAATGAAGTTTTTACCTCAAATATCCAAGCCAATAATGAAATCTGTAGTCGTTCACATCACTAAATTACAAGAAATTTGAATAATAGCAACAAAATGGCACATAAAAGTAAAAGTCTGCCATTTGAGGCTCAAAAACAAAGTAAAAAGTTAGACAAAGTGTTACAAAATAACCTTTTCAACAGCCTGTTGCTTGTGCAGGAGTCTCTCCATAGGACTGGAAATTCAGATGATCGTTTCTCCTCCGAAGGCATCCTTTATGTAGATTTCTCATCCATTTGCAGTATCTAAATTTGAAAACAATAAATGCTTAGGGTATTCCTTGTATGCATTCTATAGTTTATGGATACTTTTAAGTACCTACATGTATTGGTGTTTTAACATGTTTCCAAGCAAGTACAATATCTCCCCCCACTACTGCATTGATACCAATGTAGCCAGAGTTTTGGAAAATTGGTCCAATCTATGCACTAACCACATCACATGTTCTTTAACAACCACCCCTAATCCAAATCCAACCTGAATCTTATTATGCGTTTATCCTTATTTAAAATCTTGGTGTGCTATTGGTCATTATCCTTAACAGTTCTAGGCCTTCATCTGAAAAAACAGGACCAAACAATTTGAGGGAGGTTAAAGACACACTATCCATTTTCCCACCCAGCATATTATAAGCCCACAATTGCACCAAGGACACTGGTTTCCGCCAACTTTTGCATTTCATTTCTAAAAGCGTTTGCTGTTCTTGAGAACCGTATCCATTGAACAGATTCTTAACAGGATAGTGTATCTTTAACATTTAAAGACAAACCTGCTCCAATACACGCCCACAGAAACTGGTCCCTGGAGGATCAGCCAAATCAGTTAAAATCTGCAATACTGGCCAATATTCTTTAAGCAAACAGGAGACCGCAGCTTTAAAGGGGAAAATGCAGATGTTGGATAAGAACAGTAAGAAAATAGTCAATTCAGAAATAGGTTGCGTCTCAAACAATAGATATTAAAAAGCAAGCTATTAATTGCAACAAAACATGAAGATGTTTATTAGCTGTAAATTAAAACACCCTTTTCAGAAATGAACATGCCCCATTTTCTTAAGATCCCAGTGCCTACTAATTTCCTAAAAAAAAAAGCATGCAAGTTCAGGAGAATACCTGATACTTTACCTTTTTCTTAAGATGACACAGCACCTTCCTCTTCAGGAGATTTAGGAGGGCTCTTAGATTGAGATCTTGATTTCGACTCCCTCTTAGAGACAGGTGGAGGGCTTCTGGATTTGGACCTGGATCTTGATCGGGAACGAGATCTGGACACAGACGAAGACTTGGACTTCGACCTCCTGGCCGATCTGGACTTCGAAGTAGAACGAGAGCGGGATCGCGTGCGGGACCTCGATTTGGAACGGCTGTAGCGCGATCTGCTACGAGATCTGGATCGGCTCCTGCTTCGGGATCGGCTGCGGCGCCGCCTTCTGGGGCTGGGTGGAAGAGAGAAAGAGACGGGCGGTTGGAAAATGTTCAGGAAGTCAAGCACTCTATCTTTCAGGAGTTCGGTCAGAGCCAACGGCTTAAGAGGCCGCCCGCCGCCCATGCAGCATCACGTGATTCTCACTTTCCCGCCTACCTTTCCCCCAACCAGTACACTTAACCCATTAGCCCGGGCCTTTTTTCTGCCTCCCTTATACCACATCCCAGTTTAAAACCTTTCCTAGGAGGAATCGACCTTTCTTTTGCCCGACAGGCCCCGTCTCCCAATCTCACCTTCTGCTGCGTCGTCCATAACCGCCGCTTCCGTATCGGCGCGGAGGGGGCCCTCGTCGGCTATGGTGCGAATCCGGAGGTCGGCCATAGCGGGCCATCTGAACCCGCAATTCGCGCCCATCAAGCACGGCCCCATCCATGGCGTCCATAGCGTCCTCCGCGTCGCGCTTGTCATGGAAACGCACGAACGCGAATCCACGACTCTCCTTGGTGTAGCGATCGCGGGGAATATAGACATCCCCCACGCGGCCGTACTTCTCGAAGACGCGGCGAAGTGTGTCTGGAGAAGTACGATATGTCAGGTTGTCCACCTTCAGGGAGGTCATGCCTTCTACGTCTGGCGGCGGCCGCCCGTAACTCATGGCGTTGGGCTGAAAAAGACGGAAAGAACCGGAGCGCACGAACTGGCCCTACGGATATTGAGATGGCTGTTGCGTTAGGCTCGCGTTACCACAGCCTGGCCGTCGACTTAACAGCGAGGCGCGCAGACGAGAGCTCACTCACAAGCGACCATCTCCGACCGCTGCCACGAGCAAGTGAACGAGGTGCCGCCCTTCCTCAAGTATTTAAGCGCCACAAAATGGCCGACAATGCCCCGGAAGCAGTTCTCGATTCTACCTCCCCCTCCACGTTGTACCGTAAGCCATTCAAATTTAAGTTCGATTTTTGTTGCTCCAAAGGGAAAAGACGATCTTAAAAGACACTGACAAGGGCAGCGAACATCTAACTAAAAAAACAAAGGGAAAGATAGGTTCCTTATCGGCTGCAAAAGCTCATCTGCCTTTTAATGCGGAAACCCGGAAGCGATTGTTTACGCTTTTCACGCGGAAGGCTACAGAGCGTTAATTTCCATTCCAAAATTACAATTCTGTAAAAGGTATAACCGCCTTTACTCGTTATAATTTAGTCGGCGTGTCCATTTTTGCAAACCGTTAAGCGTTTGGCGTCGCATGTGCTTCTTAAAAGACAAGAAACTCAGTCTTCAAAATGGCGGCCAGGATTGAGAGGAAGCTGACTAATAATACGCGGGAGTGCGCACGTAACGTGCCACAGGGGCGCGCGAAACTAAGCGAGGGAAGATAGAAGCGCGAGGCGCGGGGGAGGGGTGGCTGAGAGGGAGGGGCTAAGGCTGCTTTCTTTGCTGTGCCTTCGTGCTGAAGGGGAGCCGAGCCGGGGGGGGGGGAAGGGGGACGCTGTCTACTTGGGGTGGCTAATGGATTCTTTTGCAATTTGGGGCTGCACTATGCTAAGATTTTCAAAGCCCATTATCAGGCCTAACAGCCACACTCTATGGGTCAGAGAAATTTATTTAAAGTGTGTGTGTGTGTGTGTGTGTGGGGTGTGTGGGGGGGGGGGAAGGACATTGTGCTGTGCAATATTTTGCACCTTTACTCCAAGGATAAGTATTGTTCAATGGTTTTTGTTTTTTTTGAGGTATAAAAAGATAGCAAGCTTGTCTCTTGTTTTCTAGGTGTCATATAAAACAGTTTACCCTTCTAGGTGGGTCCCTCCCGAACCTATTGTTTTGGGATTTCCTAGCGATGTCCGAATCTAATACCTGGTTTGGATTGGTTCCCCCCCCCCGGGCAACCAAAGACTTGCTGGTGTTAGTTACTATGGGCTGACTTTCTCTAACAAATTTGTGAGCTTTTTATTCAACAGGCTTGATGTATGAAATATTTCCTGCCACCTTGATTTGTTTGCATAGCCTGGAAGACAGTTTCTCCTCTTAATCTCCAGTCCTTTGCTGTGGGGCATAGCAACATAACTTGCCTCTTTGAAACTAATGGTCCTGTCTATCCAAAATGTGAACTTTGTTGTCTTAGCAGATGGACTGCTGAATCTTGTCCTGATGTCCATCTGCATTTGAGAGACATAGGTCACCACCAACAGACTACTACAACCACATGGAATCAACATTATACACAAGCCAACTATAGCCCTTCAAACCATCCTAAGTAAACCAAAAGACCCAGCAACCCCAGAAGAAGAAAACGAGTCATCTACAACATACAATTACATACAATGTAATGACTACACAACTGCTATGTAGGACAAACAGGCAAAAGACTGGCAGAATGCATCCATGACTACCAACTGGCAGCCAGAAGACATAATGAAAACTTTTAATTTCACAACATAATGACAGACTTAACCATAGTTTCAGTTGGGAAAAGGTGACCATTCTAGACCAAGCTAAGTCCAAAAATGCCAGTGAATTTTTGGAAGCCCAGCACTCTGATTAATTAGGGATCAATAGACCCATAGGCATTAACAACATCTATAGACTATGCAAAAGAGATAAGCAATCAACCAAAAGGAGAACAAAAAGACCCAAGCATCTCTCCACCAGCATCCATATCGGTATAGATTAACTCCAAGATTAACATCAGACCAACAATCAAGTAAATACCCCAATCAAGAAACTGCCAAAAAAGCCAACAATAAACAGCTCAACAAACAATCTCTAAGACCACCCTCACCAATGCTGACAAGGGCAAGCCACTAGAACAGTGGTTCTCAACCTTTTTAATGCTGCGACCCCCAAATCGGTCGTAAGTCGAGGACTACTCAACGGGTCATAAGTCGAGGACTACTCAATTGGTGCAGCACCGTTTGCAGAATGGGACTTTTGGCGGGCTCAGCAGGGCAGAGACAGCCTGGAGAATTCCTATTGGTTTTTGAAAGCCAATAGAATTAGACTCTATTCAAGAGAGTCTATTCTATTGGCTTTCAAAAGCCAATAGAATAAAAGGGAGTAGCACAGCTAAGGAAAAGGGGGAAAAAATGGCGGACTGCATTGTTTGGCGACCCCTGTGAAATGGTCATTCGACCCCAAATGGAGTCCCGACCCACGGGTTGAGAACCACTGCACTAGAATGTAAATTGACAGCAAACTGCACTCCTTACTAGCACTGATGATGTTACCTACATTACTTAGTTTGGGTAATGAAACATCTGCAAAAAAACAAGCTCAGACAGCAACAAGGCCCCCTAAAAAAAATTTGATGAGAGATTGACTTTTGCACACTGTCTTTTTGTCTTCATTTTCTTATATATTGTTTGTAGCCATCAAAATGTGTGAGATTGGTTGATGTTTCAGCAATTTTATTTCCAGTTTATCTTTCTTTTAGTCCAGTATTTCATATATTTTAGGGCCTTGTTGCACTTCTCTCCCAATTTTGAACCATTAAATGGCTTCTATTCTAACTGTACTTTCCTATTTTTCAGCTTTTTAAAAAAGAAATGCCAACAGTCAAAACCTTTTGTATAATTAAACCAAAAATAAATGTCCTTTTCATTGTCCATGGGATGTTAACATGATCTCTGTTGTCTGCCTCTTTTAAATTTAACTTGCACATCTAACAACTCCAAATTTTGAACTCTGGATTGTTAAATATTGATCACTGGCTTTCCTGAATGTGAGATGTGCAGTTATTTGCTAGTTTGAGCATTTTTTAGCAATTCTCTTTTTTTTCCCTATTAGTATATACCGGTAAATCAATTATTCCTTTTGCCACAAAATAGAGGTTAGATGTTTACTACTAACACTAAACTCATATGGTGATTAGAAGTAAACTAATGTTAAAATATTTTTGCAGATATTTAGCAAATTAAATCATTTTTTAAGTCAGAGCAAAATAAAATATTTGAAAGTATTTAATGAATTTTTCTGAGTGAATACTGGGAAATATTTATTTGATGAATTAATAAAACAAATATTAAATTTATGGAATAATTATAAACTAGAATAGGAGAAATACAAAAAAGTGAGGGACATGATTTAAAGAATACTTTCCAGGTTGATGCATAGATAACATGCTATCTGTAAATCTGAATCAAAGTATATTATTGAACATGATTTCCTCTATTGTCACCATATTTTTTGCAGGAGATATACTTTTAGTTTATTTGAACCAATGTTTAGTTCAAAAGTTGATAATAAAGTAATTTTTTATTCAGTGGAAGAGTATAGCAATAGTGCACATTATCCAAGCAACTAAACATGAAAAAATTATAGTCCATAATGTAGAAAATAAATGAGAAGCCAAAAGTCTGTGTTTGTTTTCCTGAAAATATCTCATACTATGTTCAGTATAACTAATACATATTTCAGAATTCTAAACTCATAATACTGGGGAAGCTGTCATTATTTTGATTTTAATCTACAACACTGCCAACCTTAAAATACTGTATAAGTGTGTAGATCTTACCTTACTTACATTGTTAGTGTTAACTAACTACAGGTAGTCCTTGATCTATGATCACAACAGAACCCAGATTTTCTATAGTAAGTCATGACAATTTTCAATCAAATGAGCCCTGATTTTATGACTTTATGGCAGTCATTAGTGAGCATTGCAGTTCTTAAATGAATTCAGCGGTTGTTAAGTGAATCCATGTATTCCTATGAATTTTTTGGGCAGAAACTGACTAAAAAAGCTGAAAACTGAAAAAAAAAAGTTATAAATTGTGGTCATAAGACTATAGAATCCTACAACTGACTGTAAATGTGAGCTGGTTTATTTATTTATATTTCCTATTTCTTAATCTCCCATCTCCCTCAGAGGTTGCCAAGCACCCAAATGCACTTGTGACCACGAATATGTGCATGTGCAGCCATCAGAATTCTGGAACTAGATTGTAAGTAGGGTTTTTTTGCGGGGGGGGGGGGATTTGTCTAACTTAGTATAGAGGGAAGTTAGCCCAGAGAAAGAAATATTAAAAAGGGCAGAAAAATATATTTTTCCTCAAAAGGACTTTTTAAAACCAAACCTGGCCCCAAATCTATCTTTCTGCCCCAAGCAAGACTTTAGCCCCATACAAATGTAGATGTAAAACCATCAAGAAGCAATCAAGAAGACAAAGAGAAGATTTACATACCCCACCCAAACTCTAGGAGATATTAGCCCCATCACCTGGGAAGCAGGATATGATAATAGGATTAAACCACAGATATCAAGGCCTAGACAAACAAACAGAAACAGCCTCAAGGTTCATGCTATTCCAAACAAGGCTAGAGAGGGTATAAAAAAACCTACTGCCCATGTGCTCTTTCCTCTCCTTTGCTCCTTCCTTCAAGGACCATCTTTCTGCTTCTTCAATAAACTGTAACCTTCTTCCCAAAGCAGTCTCCATGTTGCCTATTTATTCCCGGCTTGGATGAACCAGGATGAAGACTCACAATAGTTACTAAGCGTCAGATCCTCTAGCCCAGTGGTTCTCAACCTTTTTAATGCTGCAACTCCCAACTGGTCGTAAGTCGAGGACTACTCAACCGGTCGTAAGTCGAGGACTACTCAACTGGTGCAGCACCGTTTGCAGAATGGGACTTTTGGCAGGCTCAGCAGGGCAGAGACAGCCTGGACAATTCCTATTGGCTTTTGAAAGCCAATAGAATTAGACTCTATTCAAGAGAGTCTATTCTATTGGCTTTCAAAAGCCAATAGAATAAAAGGGAGTAGCACAGCTAAGGAAAAGGAGGGAAAAATGGCGGACTGCGTTGTTTGGCGACCCCCGTGAAATGGTCGTTTGACCCCAAATGGGGTCCCGACCCACAGGTTGAGAACCACTGGTCTAGCCCAAAGACAGATACAATACAATCCCAATACTTTATTTGCTTATACCTAGTGTCAGAATCTTACCATTTAAAGCTATAACTTTTAGCCTATTAGATATATCATGAGAGATTCTAGGATGTGGATATCCTGAACCTCTTCCCCACTCCAGCTCTGTGTTGATCGCCCCCCCCCCACTTCTCCAGATGCACATTCAGTATTGAATCTAGCATTTAGATGTGAACATTTGAGATACATTAATATAATTGGATTTAGTTCTCATGAGATTTGTCTTCTATACTACAATTATATATTTATCTAGGATGTAACTTTTTTTCTTGAAATGCATTATTTTAATGACTATGATAGTAACATTTTGATTGGGAGGTCCTATTATTATATATTTGTTATTATTTATAATAAAACAATTTGTTCTCATTGATACAGGTTGCAAGTGCCATCATAAATAACAATGAGGGTTTTAGAGTCCACTGAATTAATTTAAAAAAGTATTAATTTGTGATGTACTCCTTTCAGACAATTCAAATTAATTCAAGGTTTTTCCTTTATCATATACCAGATTATTCAGAATCAACTTTTCTCAAAGTATCCTGGCAAATGAGAAAAACAAAATGTGCAGTCACAAAAGGTATTTTGTTCAGGCTTACATATATCACTGAATTTTTATTCTGTAGTATTGCTTAGACATGCTTTCTTTTCCTTAATGAATAGCTCTTTGAACTGCATTTCCCAGAATTCACGAGGGCTTTCCCCCCCCCTTTGATCAGCTGACTTGATTTGTAAACTGTTCCTTATTTCCTGTCTGGCATGAATGGAAATAATCTCCGTAGCTGTTCTTTTTATCAGATAATTGATGGCCAAGTCAAAATCTGATTACATGACATGGTAGATAAGTGGAGATCTGGGTCAGAATGTGCCTTCTTTGCTTCTTTCCATCTGCTGCTGTTCTGCATTTGAAAGGTAGAGACTCTTTTGATTTTTTTTTCATTCCTGTTGGCTGGTTTTTTCTTCATACTTTGTTTTTTTCAGAAAACAGTTGTTAATTCAGTAATGCAGAGTTGCTGTTTTTTGTTCCTTTCTCAGAAACTTAAAAAAAGGAAGAAGCTTGAGAGACAGATGTTAAACTACGTTTAGTCTAACAACATTCTGATAAAACACAAGATGAATTCTGAATTAAAAAAACAGTTGAACATCATTGTTTTAGGAATAGCATTCATGTTTATGTTCACTGCTTTCCAAACATGTGGAAATATAGCGGTAAGAGCAAATGCTTTTTTCTCTATTTGCGTTGACTGGCTTCTTGTTAAAACAAATATAGATATTTAAGAATGTAATATTGTTTCTCTCAATGTTTGCAGCCCTTTTTGCCATTTCCTTTACCTGTTATTATAATGTATGGAATTTCCTGATTGCTTGAAAAGCGTAATTTTAAAAATGGGGTCCTCTTTCCCTTGTGCTGGGAGAAATGGTAATTCAGACTGCCTGGAAGGTCCTTCTTTCTTGGGTTACTTCTAAAACATGTCATGATCAGCTGCCACCAGCCATGTTAAACACCCTGACACACCCATTCTGCCAAGGTCTTCAGTCTAGCTCTAGAAAAATAAAAAAAGGTGCTTACGATCGTCCAACTTTTATTCCAGAGATTCAGATCTTATGCCAATCCTGAAACATGGAAATTAATTGTACAGTCTTCCATGTATGGAAACTTTTAATGAGAAAGTATCTTATTAAAACAAGGAACCCATATCTCTAGATATAAAACTTTACTGGGAAAAGGGGAACAACGAGCAAATGTAATTGGAAAGAGAATACCTCCTGCTTAGATGTATTTAGGCAACCTCTGTTCTTCTTCTTTTCCTTTTTGTCTTGAGCAATATGGAGGATAAGGCCAGCCTTGGCTTTGCACCTCAAGCTAAATGTACTGTCTTTGATGTCCTGGGTCTAGCCAATAAATCAGAACATTATCTAGAAGTTGGAGTTACCTTCTTTTTGAGTCTAATGATGGAATGATAAAGGCATAGTCTAGTTTTACCATTGTATAAAAAGATTTTAGGTAAGAACATTTTTGCGGGAGGGGAGTATGGAAACAAACAGTGATTTTTGTCAGGCCTCTAAGCATGGGATCAACTTACATGATGGTTTAAGGGTACTACAGTGCTGTACCAAAAACTAAGGATTTATTACTTGCCATATCATGATTGCTGCTGCAGATGCTCCTCATTCTATCTTCTGTAGGCAAATGCAGATTTGGGCATGCTTCTTTATCAAGCAATATGATGTTTTGTCCTTAACAGAAGAAGAGTTGATATTAAAACTATAGTTAGATTTTGACTTTTGTTTACTTTCTACTTAATGTAACGTTGTTGAATGCAAATTTAATTTAAAAAAACTTGATTTACTTAGGATATTATTTGCAAATACTTTGTCTAAGTAATTGTAAATAGGCATATTTAATATTTATATTTATAGTGACTTGCGGGTCTGTTTTGTATTTTAAAACTTAAATACATTTTTAAAAACCATCTGGATAATAGTTCATATTGTTAATCATTTTAATATATTTTAATGTATTACAGCAAACCGTTATTACAAATTTAAACCATACTGATTTTCATGGGAGTGGCTATACAAGGTACTTTACTCTTGTCTTTTTATTATTCATTTATTAAATAGATTTATTTGCCAGCCTAACTCAGTACCGGTAACTGTGGGCAGCTTACAACATTAAAAATCCAGAACACATACCTCACCCACTCAGGACAGCAGCAACACTTTATCATTTATTGAAAATCTTAACATGTTGCTTTTGAGCTACATTTTGTGACTAGGTTCAGGCATAATGGAACAGGATGAATTCATCCTGTGAGAATGAGGCATGATAGGCGTTTCAATTCTTCCTCATTTTCCTCTTTTGTGTGCCAGTGTTCAGAAATTCTGGCTTTCAGTTGTAAATTAAAGATACCAGTGAAGTTCAAATTATGGTTTGAATAAGACAGGCTAATGAACAATATACTGATTTTGGCTTGTTTTCATTAAACCTAGTTTAAAAGAACTTCCATTTGGAGACCTGGGGGAATTATAGTTAATTTTACTATAGATGAAAACAGTTACTATCATTTGTGACCTCACCCTATTATTACATGCTGTACTTAACCATTTTTTTCCTTTATTGTTTTTATTAAACCTAAAAACTGGTAGAATTCTAATTTGTCTCTGAAATCTTACCTTCAGAAGAAGATAATCTAAAATAAACATACTGTACAAATAATTCCCATGAATAAAATTTGTGTATGCGGAGTGGAGGGTGGGGAGAGATGTAAAAGAAGATAGCTTACATCTCCATGTAAAATAATTTTAGATACAGCACCTATGTGAATTAGTGTAGCAATGTGGTAGTACCATGGTGCTTGAAAAATTGTTGTGGTTGACAGTTTTACCTTGTACAACTTTACACAATTTTTTCAAAAAACAAAAAGGTTGCTCCTTATTGTTCTCTCAGTTTTCAAGGACATGTTTTACTAATCATTGTTACTCCTTTGTACAGTATGGCTGTTATTTATGGAGTGTTTTCAGCATCAAATATAATTTCACCTTCAGTGGTTGCAGTCATAGGACCACAACTTTCCATGTTCATTAGTGGTATCTTCTATAGGTAAGTAAAATTGCTTCAGTTCCTAGTATATAATTTATGCTGATTTCCTTTTACTTAGCTGTACCTAGAAGACCTGCTCTTTTGTATATGGGAAATGTATGATATAACTCGCTGATGGGAAATGTATGATATAACTACTACTGTTCTAGTAACTGTTGTTAGAATAGAATAGAATCATAGAGATGAAAGGGACTTTAGAGCAGATCTAGTCCAACTCCATTTCCATGGCAGGAGACCTTATATCAGGCATGTCAAACTGCCGGCCCACAGGCCGGATGTATCACACCAAAACCGTGCCCACAAGTTGCGATACGTCGTGTGACGTCACGCGACGTCGTGAGTTTGACATGCCTGCCTGATATCATCCCAGACCAATGTTTGTCCAATCTTTTCTTGAAAGCTTCTAGCTTTCAAGCAGTTCCATTGATTAATTGTTCTCACTGTGAGAAAATTTCTCTTAATTGCAGGCTGGATCTCTCTTTTAACAAGCTTCCACCCATTACTTCTTGTCTTACCCTTAGGAGCTTTGAAAAATAAGTCAAATCCCTCCTCTCTGTGGCTGCCCCTCATGTACCGGAAGATAACTTATTATGTCAGCCCTAATTCTTCTCTTTGTTAGTCTAGACCAGGGGTGTCAAACTGCCGGCCTGCGGGCCGCATGTGTCATGGCTAAACCATGGCCACCCCATTGCCGGCAATGGAAAAAAAATTGTGATACGTCATGTGACATTGCAACTTTGACACCCCTGGGCTAGACATACCTAGTTCCATTAACTGTTCCTTATAAGATTTATCCTTGTGGATCCCTTATTATTTTGATTGCTCTTCTCTGCATTCTTTCTAGGGCCCCACCATCTTTTTTTTTTTTTTTTTGGTATCTTGGTGATCAGAATTGGGCATAGTATGCCAAGCATGGCCTCACTAGTGCATTATAGAGTGGTACTATCACTTCTCATGATTTTGATGCTATCCCTTTGTTGATGCAGCCTAGGACTGCATTGCCTTTTTTTGGCAGTTGCAGCACATTGCTGGCTCATACAGGTAGTCCTCGACTTACAACAGTTCATTTAGTGATTGTTCGAAGTTACAACGGCAGTGAAAAAAGTGACTTATGACCATTTTTCACACTTATGTTTCAGTAAGCTAGAAAAATGTGGAATAAACAGCATCAGCACTAGATGTATGCTGCCAAATCACACTCAACATGTAGTCCCCAATAGAACTGCATCTACAGGGAGGAAGGAAGCAGTGGGGTACCCCAAGGTTCCGTTTTAGGCCCAGTACTTTTCAATATCTTCATAAATGATTTAGATGAGGGAATAGGAAGGGAACTCATCAAATTTGCAGATGACACTAAGCTGGAAGAATAGCCAGCACTTCGGTTGATAGACTTAAGATCCAGAAGGATCTTAAGAGACTTGACACTGGGCCATATACAACAAAATGAAATTCAATGTAGGAAAATGTAAGATCTTACACTTAGGTAGGAAAAACCAAATGTACAGGTACAGTTTAGGTGAAACCTGGCTCAATAGCAGTAAGTGTGAAAGGGATCTTGGAGTCCTAGTGGACAATCACTTAAATATGAACCAGCAGTGTGTGGCAACAGGCAAAAATGCCAAAGCTATCCTAGGGTGCATTAATAGGATAGAATCAAGATTATGTGAAGTACTAGTACTGCTTTATAAAGCCTTAGTAGGACCACACTTAGAATACTGCATCCAGCTGATTAGAGCAACAAGGTTGATTAGGGGCCTGGAAGCTAAAACATAAAAATATCTGGTAAGTGGGTAAAGATAGGATTTAGAATTAATTGGGAGAAATAAGAACATCTGAAAATTATCAAGTACAAATTACTCCCAACTAGTGATAGAAATTATTTTACAAAGAACTATGAGCATGGCATCATGCATATTAAAATTTTCTTTTCAGCTTATATATTGCCATTTTTATCCAGCCTATTACTTGGAGTTTCTACACAGCCTCAGTTTTCCTTGGAATAGCAGCTGCTGGTAAGCTCTTTCTCTCAACCTGAGAGATGTTCTCCATTTTATGAAGAAATTTATTTTGCCTTTTCTCTTTTTCATTTGGAATTAGGCTTTTGGTGGAATCATGAGATTTGGGTGAGGAACTGAGTGCTTAGGTTGATTCTGAGTAATATGGACCTTTTTCCAATTTGCTTTCCCACACTTTCTCATTTTCCATTGAGGGGAATGCAAGCACTGTGTCCCATTCCCCAGTATTAACAAAGTAGTAAAACTGTCCTTAACCATTAGAAACATTACATAAAACAGTGGTTTTCAACCTGTGGGTTGGGACCCCATTTGGGGTCGAACGACCATTTCTTGGGGGTCGCCAAACAAGGCTGTCCGCCATTTTTCCCCCCCTTTCTTTGGCCACGCCCCTGGCACCCGGTGATGTATAAATGGTTGGGGGTCACCACAACATGGGGATCTGTATTATGGGGTCGCGGCATTAGAAAGGTTGAGAACCACTGACATAAAAGGTAAAGGAGCCCCTGCGGATTTTACTCCACTAATTGTTACCGACTGTAGGGGGCAGTGCTCACCTCCATTTCATGGCCATTGAGCCAGCACTGTCTGAAGACATTTCTGTGGTCATGTGGCCAGCAAGATGTGGAGCACTGTTATCTTCCCACTGAAGGGGTACCTATTTTTATATACTCACATTTGAATGCTTTCAAACTGCTAGGTTGGCAGGAACTGTGGCAAGAACGGGAGCTTACCCCGTTGCAGGGTGCTCAGGTCTGGAATCTTAATTGCTGAGTCACTATGCCACCCCAGAAACATTACATAGAGAATATAAATATTCATGGATATTCCTTGTGAAGAAAAGTTCAATGTCACTTGGAGTTACCTTTTTCCCACGTCTTAGCATATTAGCTAAGAAGTTGGTTCCATGTAATTCAAATTTGCTAAACACCTCTTTAAATTGTCTTTGTTCCCAAGATTACAATAATAACATTCCAGCTAAAGTGGCATTCACTTTGAACAATACTGTCTGTAGTTTATAAAGTATATAGGTTTGTTGTTTAAAATGTGTAATAAGTATCAAGGAGATTCCTATTCCTTAAAAGTTTGTCAAGTATTGGAATTCCAATTATTGAAACATAATATAATATAATACCATAATATAATGTTTAATACTTAATATATTTTATTATATCCATATCATCTGTTTTATTTGAATATTTAAATAATATCAGCTGTAAATATCTATGAGATGCATCCAAAAATACAAATATGTTATTGAAATGTTTTCAGATACCAATATAAACAAACTTTAGAAAATTTCTTTTCTTGTTTACAATAATTCGTATTACGTTTTCAGTACTGTGGACTGCTCAAGGAAATTGCCTAACAATAAATTCAAATGAAAACACAATTGGCAGAAACAGTGGAATTTTCTGGGCATTATTGCAATTCAGGTAAATAATTAAACTATTCCTTTTGGTTAGATCCTGTGCTGTGAAATGAAATAAAACTGCAATGGAGTCTTCTCCCTTTTGCATCTCCCAATTGATCCCTAATTTATTCTGGAGGATTGGGAATTCACTAAACCGTTTTTGAGTTAATTGGGAGCTAAGGGAAGAAGAAATTCTTGATTTTACCAATACCAGAAATTGCACAAATGATGCTAATATAAAAAAAAAAAACCTTTTGAGGAAACAAATGTGTGATTAGGCTGTTCTTCTCTGGATATTTAAAGCAAAACTGTGGAAGCACAACTCTCAAACTGAACTGTCAGTTTTGGTGCTTACACAAAAAATGTGCTTTTTGGAATCACAATTCCCTTCAAATTCTGCTTTCTATGTCAATTATCATTTAAAGAGTCCTAAATGGGAACAAGACTTTGTTCTAAATCTGTACTGAATCACTGTCTCATCTGTATCATAGGAAAATATTTGAGGGCATTCAGAATTTTCCATGATTTTATTGTAAAGCAAGTTAGGGAGTATGAATAGCATGTGCTATTTAGAATGTATTTTGTGTCTGGATTGCTTAGATTGCTTTGACCTAGATCAGGGAAATTGAAATTCAGCTTCTACTTTAGCCATTGGTCAAGCATGGGACTAGACTCTTATTCTCTATCTCTTTTACATGATTCTAATGAGGATGTTCTTAGGTTGGAATTGGGAAACTTGTATAATACCTGGTGCTCCTTGAAAGGAACTTTATAATTTATTCTTTGCTTTCTTATTAAACAAAATAGGCAAGATGGACAGTAAGCAAATTTACATAAACAAACAAATATAATTAGAGGAGCTTCTAATAAAAATGAAAACATAAAAAGATAGGACAAAATAATTCAAAAGCAACACATCAGTTAAAATAAAAGAGCTGCTAAACTAAAAAACAGAGGTCTGTGTTCAGCATAGCACCGCCTTGACAGGAGGACAGTATCCAGCAGTACCACTATTGTAGAAGCAGCAGATCTCACCGCCCAGCAATTAACAAGATAAAAACGATCAACCAATCACAGATTATGTGCTGTCCAAAATAAAATATTCTTTATCAGTTTGTATAGATAGAAACAAAAGGGATTATTATCAATGACCACTGCCATTGTGCCCTTGGGGAGACTGTACAGGCAACACAAGAGTGTAGTGCCTAGAGTTCTGATTTTAAAATTCTGTGAATTCTCAGAATAGATTCTAAAGATACTGTAGGTAAACAATGTTTAAGGTGAGATCAACCGGTGACTTCAGTTTTGTAGTTTTCTGAGGAATAATACCAATGTATTTCCCAATACTTCTTTAAAGATATATTTTCATTTTCCCAGTCTAGCTTGCAGCCCTCTGATAGTTTTCTGCCCAATACTTAAAAGATCTAAGCCTTTTCAAGGTTAGCCAAAGTCAGCTAGGTTCTGCCTCCCTGGATCATGGATAAATTAGTAGCTTAACTGATCCCAGAAATAAATGGGTTTCTTAAAGCAACGAGATCTGTAGAGGAAAAAAAATGCCACAATGTGAAAGGGGCAGTGGAATAATCAGGTTGCAAATGGAAAGTCATTTTCATTCCTACTTTTAATTTTCAAATCAAATGCAGAATTTCCTCTTCAGTTATTTTAAACTTTGCAGTTACGTCTTGCTTCCATGTATTGGAATTGTTGTTATTTCCATCACTGGAATCCTAGACTGCTTCTTATTGAGCCAAGATATATGTCTACTTTAACATTTATGCTGTGAATTTTCCATGATTGCCATATGGAGCCTTCTTTGTCTGGTATGATCTATCTGTATTGCATTTCAGTTTTCATAGTTGCTAGCTGTCATGACCAATAGTCCTATTGACAGAGATTATGGGAATTAAAATCCAAGCCATCAGTGGATATTAGTTTGAAGAAGGCTGATGTAATGGAAGAAAAATACGCATATCTTGGGAAGATGAACTCTTATTGGTTGGATATGTTGGAATCTACTTGCAATGTCAATATAATTTCACATCTTACAGAAAAATCCTTGAAATTATTTGAGGTTTATTAAGATTTCAAACTTGTTTTGAACTACAATTCATCTTTCTCTTTCTTATATGACAAATAATGCATTAACCATTAGTTATCTCCCATTTACAGCTTGTTTTTTGGAAATCTCTACATATATTTTGCCTGGCAAGGGAAAACTTACATATCAGGTTGGTATTGTCCATATAATCCTTTGAAGCTGTGTATTCAGCCTACTGCCTCAGTCTTTGAGTTTTTACAATATCTCACTGAATAGCGTACAAATCCCATTTTAAAATATGTTGTGTTCCTTGATCCTTAATCACCTACACCCAGAGAAGCAGAATAATTCACTGCCTCAGCAGTTAGATAACAAAAGGCAAAGTTTGAGTAGAAATATTTTTTTTGTCTGATGTGGACAAGCAAATGCTTTCCCACTCTTCTATTTCCATTTCCATTTCACCTTGATCTAGCCAACTACCTACCAAGACAGCTGGATGACTTTGGGCAAGTCATTCTCTCTCAGCCCAACCATCTCACAGGGCTGTTGTTTTTGGGAAAACAGGAGGAGGAAGGTGTGTTGAATATATTTGCCACCTTGAATTACTTGTAAAAATAATGAAGGTGGGGTACAAATAAATAAAATAAAATAAAAAATTAAGCTATAGCAGTGACGTTTTATTCACATTTTGGCTGGGGTTGGAGAGAGAAACAATTGCCTCATGCTATGATATTACCTGTGCATTGCACAATGATTTAAGGTATTTAATGCATGTACAGGTTGCTAAGCATTTATTTGAACAAGTTTTTGCCATTTTCCGTTTAAAAAACTATTCCGTTTAAAAAACTATCCATTATTGACCCTGGATAATGCGTGAAACCTTGAAGACTAATGCCAATTCTTATAATTCCTAGTAAAAGATTAATTTAAAAAGGCATCCTATTGTTTCTTATTTTTCCTCATTCCCTAATCTTCATTTTCTGCCTTGTGATGGTTCTTTGTGTTCCAAGGACCAAACACAGTTCAGTAAAGCAAAACTGTACACAGTGCTTTATTGCAACACATGCCTTCCCATCAGCAGGTTATTGCTCTGGATCAACTCCACCCTTCTAAGACTTGCAAGGTGATGTTGCCATGTAAATACATCTTTAATACTCAGTCATTTATACTCAGTCTTTTAATACTCAGTTCATACAGAAGTCTCAAAGTCTTTTAAATAGCATACAACTTTTGCCTCTTCTCAAAAGTTCCCATGTTACTTAGGTTGGGGTGCTGTTTTAGTGCAGGTGCTTCTTTCCTAGTTGCTATTGAACTCCAGACAAAGCTCTAGGTTCTAGGCATGACTCCCACCAGGATTGCTTATCACCTTTTCTCCTGTCCCACTCTTCCCACTCTGTCTTAGTATCTGCTTTCTTAAGCTCAAAAGACTGGGTGGGATGAGGCTGCCTCTAGATGTCAGCATGTTCTTGAAAACACCAGGGTGTGGTTCAATTAACCAGGCATTTCGAACATAGACTTGAATGCCTGTCAGTAATGATCTGAGGAAGTGGATGGATGCTTGAGGAAAATATATGTGTGTGTGTTTGTGTGGGCTTATCTGCATGACTACATCTACTTTTGAAAAGAGTAGAGAACAACCCCAATTTCATTCCCTCAGATTATTATCCCAACGACATATACTATATTATAATAAAAAAATGCGTATCTATTTGGAGGTGCCATTCAATTCATCTAGGGCTTAATCCTAGAGCCACAGTACTGATCTTGGCTGATCTTAGAAGCTAAACAGGCACATCTGATCAATGCTTGCATGTGGAAATAGCTGAGAATTCCAAGACTGTTGTCTAGACTGGGAAGTGAGAAACACCTCAGAGGAGGGTAGCCATAAACTTCTGTAATGTTACCAAGCAAACTGAATCTAATTCAGCCTATATATATAATAAAGCTTTACATTCTGAATAACTGTAAAATCTGCATTCCTTACTGACCAATGAGCCAGAGGAAGCTAAAAGACAAGACATAGAATCTATGCCAGTGAAGAAGAACAGACAACCAGAGAAGGAAGATACAGTCACACTGAACATTTTAACTGGTATCTCTATCTCTGCCTCTGTCTCTATTTCTATATATCTCTATATACACACACCCATACCCACTATATGTATGTGTGTATACATGTTAGCATTTATATTTGCAGTTGAGAGAACTAGACAAACCATTTGTGAAAACATTGCATTTGGTAAGATACTTTCTTTCCTATGTTATTGTAAACAGGAATTTAAATACAATTATTATGCCTATTTAAAACTATCGACCAGCATATTTATGCAGAGAGCTCTTCCTCTGAATATACTAGATAGGTTTGAATGCTTTTCTGCTTTTATTTCCTAATAATTGTCTAATTAAGTGGCCAACTGCATGGCCCTATTAAAACAACATGTTAATAGGCATAGCTATCTTCAAATACAGAATCTTGGTTTGATACGTGAAAATTTACTGAAATTTGTATGAATGTAAATTTTGTTCTGTACTTTGTATTTTTTTCATCTGAGAAATATCCTGAATATTTTGGCAACTTTGAATGAGTGCACTGTTCGTTGCACAAGGTACAACATACTATTTTTCATTTTCACAGAAAGCGATCGTAGGACTGTCTTCATCTCTCTGACAGTGATCAGTCTAGTGGGCACCGTTTTGTTTTTTCTCATTAGAACTCCAGAAGAAACGAATTCAGAAGAAGAGGAAACCACTGCTGAAAATACTGTAGCTAGCATGTAGGTGCTAAGGGCTGATTTTTTTGTTATATCAGTATATTCTTAGTCAACCATTTCTGCTCCTTTTTGAATAAGAAAAGATGCTTGTATTTAATGCAGAGAGGAATTGTAACTAGAAAACAATCCATTTGCCCCAGTTATTCAGGGTAGGAAGAGTGCTTAGATCTAAACTGTACAGCTACAAGATAATTTATATGTAACTATATATATAATTTATGTAGGAAAATTAACTTGCATTTATATATTTTTAAGCTGCATGATACTGGGCAGACCTAATTTAATGTGTAGGGCAGGGGTGTCAAACTGTCGGCCCACGGGTCGGATGCATCATAGCAAAACCACGCCCACCCCATTGCTGTCAATGGCAAAATAATTGCAATACGTCGTGACACGTCATGTGACGTTGCGAGTTTGACACCCTTGATGTGGGGGGGGGGGATTCATGAAAAAAGTGATGGCAAAAGTTTAATGCACATACAATTTAGGTTAGTAGTTTATTTCTGAATATTTCCTATTTTGATATTTTAAGAATTTTAATGACAAATAGTGCTGAGTAAAGGAAAACATTGATATTGACATATGATAATTATTTTCTTAATGCTTTACTTATTTTTTCACTGTAAATAAATACTTGTTTTATCAGGTCTGGCCAAAGCAAAATATCAAGGGCCATGGATGCAATAAGTAAGTAAAAGTACTCAGGGCATTTTGGCATGCTCAGCAAGAGTCAAGTACAAATGGTTATAATTCCTTGTAGCTTCTTTCTAATATTTCCCTCCTCAGGGAAGCAGAGGCATAATGTTAGTAGCAACATCGCTATGAATCTTGTAACATTGCCTATTTTAGGAGGAGCTGGACTAATTTCGTATCCTGCTTTGGCTCACAAAGTTGGTATAGTCCACTGATTTGTTAAGCTCCATATTCAAAACTGCATGGATACTAACAGAGAAGAGCTCATTATGATTGGGGGAGAAAGGGGTATTGGAATTCAGTTCAGTTTCCCATTTGTGAATTACAAATAAGTGAAGATTCTCATCAGATCAAGTTTAATTAAATATTTTCATTTTGCCTTCTTCGTAGAAAGATCGTTCAAGTTGTGTGCTACAAAGCAGATTTTGCTACTTAGTGTCACAACAGCCTATACAGGTAATGGAACAAGAGTGCAAACACCAATCTTGAAAGTTTATAATGTATAAATATTTGTTATGTGTCATGGTTCCAAAAGAAGAAGCTAACATCGGATATTCTTGCTTGACATTATGTCTCTATATTTTTTCTAAATGTTTTCAATCCTGCCCATTGTCTTTGGTTTCTTCATGAAAATCAATTAGTGATATTCCTTTCTGACATCATGGCCTTTGTAATGTCATTGTAATTCCATGGGCTTGTGAGGAAACTATAGAGTGTCCTTGACTTACGACTGGTCGCTTAGTGACTGTTTGAAATTATGGCAGATTTTCAAAAAGCTACTTTCAGCCTGGCCCTGAAGTTATGGTTACTGCAGCTTCCACATAGTTATTCACCCCTAGAATCAACTTCAGGGATGCTGCAGCGCCCCGCCTATTTCTTCTACCATATTCCTCCAGGTCCTGGGTTGTTTCCCACCCCATTAGGCCTCACACCCTCCTCCTCACCTACCTTTGGAAGTTCTCTGTAGCTCAGGTTAGGGAAGGAGGGCAGGTTGTTATTGCGGGGCCACGTAATACAATCCTGGAAGTGGCCACCATTTTCCAAGTAGCTGCATTGAATTGTGGCCACTTGGAAAATGGTAGTCATTGCCGGGATTGCACCATGTGGCCCAGCAACAGAGCAGTTTGCTTTGCTTCTCTAATTTGAGCTCTGAAGACCTTCAAAAGGTAAGTGGGTGACTCGGAGTGAGGAGGATGTTGTGCGGTCTGGAGGGGTGGGAAGGTCTGCAGCAATCCCAAAGGGCAGGAAATGGAGTTTGGGGTGCCTTGGGTGAGGGGAAGGCCTTGGGAGCCCAGTGCAGGGCCTGCGCTAAGTCTTCCAGGGCCTTCCTCAGGATCCCTGAGGCACCTCCTGCTCTGGTTTATGACTTCATTGGGGGGAAGCAGGGCTGGAGGATTGTAAGTGAGGCAGTCACATGACTTTCAACCGTAATGGGCAGATTCCATTATGGCCATGAGTCAAGGACTACCCACTTGTATAGAGATGTTCCTAAGAATTCTCTGCAGTTAAAAACTATTTTTAAAATGAAGTGCTATTGTTAAAGGGCCTTTTTTTGGGACAAAATAAAAAAACACCAAAGTAATTTTATGATTCCTTTGTATTAAAACACCATAAGTCAATTTGAAAATCCCAACACCAATGCTTCCTTACTATCTACTGCTTATTTCTGTAAAACACTGGTTGATTTTGTCTGCACTGTGGCATAAATTAATAAAAGATGTTTTATACTGTAAATTGCATGTTTACCATAAATATTCCCCAAATATCACTTTCTTTGTTTGTTCCCTTTGTACAATTTTATTTTAAACTGAATTATAATACTTTTTATCTAGGATCTTTTTAATTGCTGAAATAAATCTTTGAAATTAAAGCAGTCTCTTAATTTTAGAAAGGCATAATTTAGCTCCTTGATAATCCAGGATATTTTATACTTAGAAAGATACTGAATTAAGAAAAATGTTATAATTGGTCACAGTAAGTAGCAGCATCTACTTAATGGTTGATTTCAAAAATGTCAAGCTGGATTGAATCTGATTTGAGCTTGGATAAGAGTCTCCAGGAAATGACAAGGCTGTTTTGACTGGGAAATTGAAAAAGAAACATCCTATATTATTGCCAAGAAAACTTCATGGACATGTTCAAGTAGTCAATATGTAAAGTTCAACTTGTGGAAGTCTTTAATTCATTTTGGAATTGAGCTGTTGAATTTGGGGAATATTTATGGTAAAAATGCAAATAATTCTGGCCCTCACGATCTGTTAGGTTACTATACAGTTAACAAACAGCAGGGATAGTCATTTTCTTTATTCAAAGAGGCGTATCCTATCCTGAAGATTATAATTTGGGGACCATAAGATTTTGATCCACCTATACAAAGACCAGTTAATAATTTACCAGTTGGCATAAAGACATTACATACATTGAATGTACTTGAATGTACTAATACATTACCTATCTGTAAATTACATGTTGGGTTTTAAGTGGTGTTTGATTTTTTTAATTGAGTCTTGTGATAGCTCATTGGGATATTGGAATTTTGCTAAATAATTATAATTGAAATATTTATTGAAAGTTCCTTTGAAAAGGTTTTACTTAAGGATAAATACTTGCGTATGATAATGCCTGAAATAATGTTTTGGTTTTTTAAGGGCTGGAATTAACATTCTTCTCTGGAGTATATGGAACTTGTATAGGTGCTATAAAGAAATTTGGCGCCGAAGAAAAAAGTCTTATCGGACTCTCTGGTATTTTCATTGGCATTGGAGAGATATTAGGTGAGTTCAAACTGAGCCTAAAATAATAGAAAATATTTTCTGATATTTAAATAAATAAATTTGATAAATAAATGTGATCAGTAAATATGTTTGTAGAATATGCAGGTAGATAAAGTAATTCAGCAAAGAACTAAGATAATAGATAGTTCAAAATTAATTGTTAAACTTTCAGTGTAGAGGAATGATCAAGTAGGCAGGTCTCACTCTAAGTTCTCAGTTGTCCTCACAACCTTACCATTTCAAAACAAATGAATAAAGACTAAACAAGACTCCCCAGACCATTTTCAGATGATTTCTTGTTGTTTTTTGAAGGGGTTTTTTTTTGCTTTAAATTCATGAACAAAGTTGTCTTACATACTTATTCTTTGCCTTCTTCTTTTTGTATCACTACAGAATATGTGAATTCAATATCTTGTTCGGTATAAAAAGTAGATATATTGTTTTGGTAGAATGACATGACTCAAGTTATTCCAGCGTAACACTATTATTAATATAGCATTGCTCCAGTTTGCTATGACACCAGGCCATTTGTTGACCAATACTTCAATTTGTTGTGGCAGCAGTCTATTTATAACGCAACACTGTCAGGGCAAAGCACTGTTTATAAACAGAGAGCAAATCCCACTCCCATTTAGCAATGATGGTGGTCCCTAGTTGGGTAATGAAATGTCTGCAAGACAACTACAGAGTTCAGAGAGCTTTAGAGATCTTGCTTGACACGTACTAGTATGCACTTACTGAGTCTCTTAAAGAGACAGTGCCACCAGCAGATTACTATAGTTGAAAGCACCTTCCTTGTGGATGATGGTTGGTAATAAACTGGCAGCTATTGGAATTTTGTAATACTGTATTGCAGTGTTTCCCAAACTTGACAATTTTAAGGCATGAGGATTCCAACTCCCAGAATTCCACAGCCAGCAACGCTGGCTGTGGAATTCTGGGAGTTGAAGTCCACATGCCTTAAAATTGTCAAGTTTGGGAAACACTGCTGTATTGCTAAGATAGATTCCAGCTGTTCCAATTAAGATACTTCCTTAGTGGCAGGAATCTTAAGAAACTAGTCTTCTAGAAAACAATTTCCTTTTAACATTTTCAGTAAAAATCTTTTCCCTTAATTTATCCTGTGAGCGTCTGTATTAGAAAAAGCAATTTTCCATATGATAATAATTATATGTTCACTGTTACAGGTGGAGGAATCTTTGGCCTCCTAAGTAAGAATAACAGATTTGGCAGGAATCCAGTGGTGATGTTGGGCATCGTGGTCCATTTCATAGCTTTCTATTTGATTTTTTGTAATATACCAAATGATGCACCTATTGCCTCTATGGAAGGAACAGATAACATTGCATTCATGGAACCAAGGTACGTATTTTTGCTTCTTCCATTTAGATTATTCTTAAAAGACAAATACTGCATATATTTTTCTGCAGAGGTAGTAAATGAAAATATAGCTAGTTCACAGAATCTGGAATTATTGCCTATTTGTTATTATTGCCAAGAATTTTTTTTCTTCTTGGTCACAGTCATGTTTGCTATAATGAATTACCAGCATTTGAATATCTTTTTGTATGTTTTCATTGTCAGGATGAAAAATCTAACTTTCAGGTTGAAATTCCTGTATCCTGCTATTTTTTGCATTTATGTTTCTCTATTATGGAATAGAACTAGACATTTTATAGACTTTCATAACTGGAAATTCTTCAATCTGTTTGAAGATAAACGGTGTGTGTTTGTGTGTGTTAAGTTTTTCTCAGGTGAAACTATAGCTAAATGATCCCTTCAGGTACTTTAAGCTAATTTCTACAGGCCATTCTAAAATGAATTATGAATCTTGATTAATATGCAGTGTATGGTTTAATGGTCATAAACTGTAATTTAATCAAATGATAACAGAAACAAAGTATGGTGTCTATATCACATGCACAAATCCTAAAGTGGCACAGGATAATTCAAGGTAGATTTGCTCTTCTCTGCTGCCAAAAGCCAATACAGTGCTAGACTGCATTAACAGAGGGATAGAATCAATATCATATTAATATCTCTTTACAATGCCTTGGTAAGGCCACACTTGAATACTGCATCCAGTTTTGGTCACCATGATGTAAAAAAGATGTTGAGACTCTAGAAAGAGTACAGAGAAGAGCAACAAAGATGATTAGGGGATAGCAATGTTCCAATATCTCAGGGGCTGCCACAAAGAAGAAGGAGTCAAACTATTCTCCAAAGCGCCTGAAGGCAGGACAAGAAGCAATGGATGGAAACTAATCAACGAGAGAAGCAACCTAGAACTAAGGAGAAACTTCCTGACAGAACAATTAACCAGTGGAACAACCTGCCTCCAGAAACGATGAACGCTCCAACACTGGAAGTTTTAAAGAAGAAACTGGACAGCCATTTGTCTGAAATGGTATAGGGTTGCCTGCCTGAGCAGGGGGTTGGACTTGATGACCTCCGAGGTCCCTTCCAACTTTTTTTTATTATTATTATTATTATTATTATTATTATTATTATTATTATTATTATTATTATTATTGATGGATCTGAACCCATTTGGTTCAAGTACTGGAAATCTATAAAGTTACACTGATCAAAAAAGGCACCATAGCAAAACAATATCAATCTTTTTCTGTTTGACATAAAATGCCATGACAGTGTTATGAGGAAGAGGCATATTAATTTTGATAATTATTGGGCCTTCCCTGAAATCAGTGACTCTAACAGAGAACAATATTAATAATCCCACTCACAACATATTGAAGTTTGGAAGAATTATAAGAAAGGAATTCCATTGTTGTCCACTATTTTGTAAACGTATGTCAAAGGTTATGTACAAACAAATGATATACAATTCCTGAGAGAAGGTGATATTAGAGAAAAGTGGCCCTATAGCATTTATTCTGATATCTGTGCTAAATAAACTGTAATTGTGGTTTTAATGTTTTTTTTATATACAATATTTTAATTATTTTTAAACTGCAGTTTTTAAAATGGTTCTGGTGTTTTAATATTTGTTTATCAGCCACCCAGAGTCATACATTTAATACAGGTGGCTATATAAATTAATTAAATGAATATGTAAAACGTAGAAATACTCTGAAATGGTTTTCTCCAATTTTGCAGCATAAAAATGTTTTGGGAATACATCACACAATGAAAGGCTGGGTTGGGAAAGGCTGTTTTAAAAAATGTCATGTTCATATAAAATATCTCTTTACTAATCTTCTGTGATTGGCCACTTTTCTAGTATTTCTCAATCCTGAAAAAAATCAGAAATGATAGAATTGAACATAATACTGTTTTTCAGTTATCATTGTGAGTTTATTATTTACTGCTTCTTTATTTTAGCAAAGAACTGGCCATTTTTTGCAGTTTCTTACTGGGCTTTGGAGATAGCTGTTTCAACACTCAACTCCTTAGTATTTTGGGATTCTTGTATTCTGAAGACAGTGCACCTGCCTTTGCAATATTTAAATTCATTCAGGTAATATCTATTTCCAAGTGGCAGAACCAGATGGTGATGATGTTCAGTGCCTTTTTGTCATATTTTGACTCCTAGCAATTGCCTGGACTACAGATAGCCCTCGACTTACAACTAATTGTTTAACAAATATTCAAAGCTACAACAGCATTGCCTTATAAACAGTCTCCACACAACCATCATAGCACCACCACTCCTCATGGTCACTGGCACTTAGCAACTGGCATGAATTATTATATTAAATTGAGCATGACTCCCTTAACAACCTCCTTGCTTAGCAACAGAAATTCTAGTCCCAATTGTGGTTGTAAGTCGAAGACAATTGTAATCCCTTGGCGAGATTTTTTGGAAGTGGTTTTCCTTCTTCCTATGGCTGAGAAAGAATAACTGGCCCAAGGTCACCCAACAGGCTTTGTACCTAAAGGGGGACTAGAACTCACGGCTTCCCAGTTTCTAGCCTGATACTATTAAACCCAGAAGATAAATCTTCCATTTTCTTTGGGTAAAATGTCTGAGCAGGTCATAGCACTTAGCTGACCTTGTCTCACTTGATTATTAAGCACAATTAGGCATGATAATATTTGGCAAGGAACTACCAGAAATCCCTATTAGACTGGGCTAATTCCCCCACCCACGATTACCACATTCTGGAAGTAGTGCCATACTACATTAATATACAATTGCCAAAGAATTTTATGGATCTATCTATTTAGTCATCAGAAATTGAGCATGGCTTAAAAGAAACTTTGCCCTTTGTGCTAGGAAAAAGGGACAGTAGAATTAATTTCTGAGAAAAGTGTCTGTGATATTATCAAGTAAAAACTATAAAGGAACAATTGGGTTATGGTAGTGAAGAGTGCATCCACAATAGTATATTTTTGTTTATTGTTAGATATATAGCCTGACTTTTCTCCATCAAAATTATTCTGGAATTCAAGGTGGCATGTTTATATAGAAAATATATTTTAGCATTTTTACAACACTGTCTTGTATTTATTCAGAAGTAATTTCTACTGATCTCACTTACTCCAAATTAGACATAATCCATTAATACATTAAATGATATTTAAATGAAATGCAAAATTGATGTATATCAGTAATTCAATTTAAAAAGCAAAATGGATAAAATTGTAAAGATAAGAGTCAAAATACTAGGCCGTTCAATCTACAATTTGAAATACTGTGCTGGATTTTGTGTACACAAACAATACTCTCCCCAAAAGTAATATGTATGTTGGACGTGTCCACTTTGGAATAAGTGTATTTGCTTCTATAAAAAAATATGATTAGGAAAGTTTATGTTCCAGTAATTAAAAGTGGAGGTGAGATGACATTAAAAATCAATGTCTATAACTCGGTTTGTCATTAAGATTGCATTTACAACGTGGTTTTTTTCTCCTTTTCAGTCTGTCTGTGCAGCTGTGGCTTTCTTCTACAGCAACTATTTGTTTCTTCAGTGGCAACTTCTAATAATGGCAATCGTTGGATTTTTTGGGACAATTACGTTTTTCACAGTGGAATGGGAAACAGCAGCCAAAAGTATAGGTTATCACAACATTTGATAAGTGCAGTGTGGTCATCCTGAGGCAGTAGTCACCTTTCCAAACCACAAGTTGATTGGAAATACAGATATATTTAAAACCACAATTCTAAATGATTTTATTCCCTTATCAATCAGTAGTGATGGAGATCACAGACTACAATGTGGGGGGGAAAAAAAACCTGTAGAGAGGACAGAGAGGCACTCTTTTTTTAATCAGGTCTACTTGAGTTTTAAGAATAGACATTATGGAAATTCTACTATTGCTGTTCTTTTGATACACACATGGTTATTCGAACCCTAATCAAATTCACTGAGACTTGAAATAACGTATAGGATTGCAACCTTACCATATGTATTTTTTTCTGTAAAATTCATCGTTGTACATTTCTAGTAAGAGCATATGGAAAATGGAAAGTGAATTCTTAACTGAAATAAACCCATTGTATTTTACATGTTCTGACAGACAATTCTGAATAGATTGGAATTGGTGGAATTGAAACCTGGAACGCTTTGATTATTCTGGGTTTGCGCTGAAACAATTCTAGAAGGGTCTTACAATCTCAAGCATTTTGCCCAGGTATATTTTTCCCTTTCTCTGCATAGGCTGTAAATTAGCCTGCTTCCTGATTCTCTCAGGGTATTCCTTTTCCTACTTCCCCTTAGATCAGCGGTTCTCAACCTATGGGTCGCGACCCCATTTGGGGTCGATTGACCATTTCATGGGGGTCACCAAGCAAGGCTGTCGCCATTTTTTTCCCCCTTTTCCGGCGGGTGCCTTACCTCCCTTGGGCTGGGCCAGCTGGTGGCCCAGCTGGTGGTCGGCCTGCTCCGTCTCTGCCACTTGCCAGCTACGCCTCAGCTGGTGCAGGGGGCGGCACCATGCATGCGTGGCATTCCCGGGCAGGGAAAGTCCTCGGCTTACGACCGGTTAGGTAGTCCTCGACTTACGACCGGTTTAGTCCTCGACTTACGACCGGTTTAGTCCTCGACTTACGACCGGTTGGGGGTCGCAGCATTACAAAGGTTGAGAACCACTGCCTTAGATGCTAATTTCTTTTTCAAGTGTGATATATCTATTCATAGGATCTCCCTTTGCTTACCTCCCCTAAATTGATGCCACCAATACATCCAAGTGGTCTGCTCACCCAACCATCCACCCATCCGTATTCTTAGTTACTTCCTTTCCCTATCTCCCTGCCAGACACACTTGCTGATGTCATTAGCTTTTTCATGTTACCTGTCTCTGAAACATTTCTATTGGAACATGTAGGTTCCAGGTCTGAATGTGGGCCACCCAAAACAGAACACTTCATATATGGAATGTATTGTATCTACTTACTTTGTATTGATTTGCTGAACATCATCAGAGGAGCCAAAGTATAGCACTAAAGTGCAAAATAAGGATGCTTTGCCTTTTGGTTGCTGGTGTACACTTAATGGTGATGTCTGTAAAATTAGGTGGAACCACATCATATGTAGAGTTCAGGTTGGAATGTCTGGGGAATATTTTTGTTACATGCATATTTTAGAGCTTTTTAATATATTTCTGAACTCAGAATAATGGAAGCTGCCATTAGTTTTCAGAAATCATGAGAAGAAAAGACTAAGAATCACAAAAAGAATTCATTTAAAGGCCTGTTCACTTGAAGGTTGTTTATTGCCCACCCAATACAGGGACAAGTATGATTCTTAAATATTTAATTAGATTATCAGTTTATAGCTTCAATTCGTTATACACTACATTTTAGTGCCATATTTTCACTAGGGAGACAAGCAGTCAGATGTTATGAATGTATATCTATTCTACAATATCTACAAATATTTTGTCAGGTGCCAAACTGTGTAGCATACCTAAAATGTTTGATTGATTAATCAAGATGATTTTTCTTTTAATTCACATGTGAATTTATGTATATTCAAATTGCAATTAATATTCACCTGGGACTGGGAGCAAACTTTAGTGAATTCAGAGGAGCTTCTTAGTTAATTTCATGTAGGACTGACATTGTAATCAGTTAAAACATATAGTTGATTTAGACGTTCTTTGATTAAATAGTAGACATAAATTCAATTCAGCTTTTTGTATGGAATGCACTTTGCCTCCAAAGAATTGTCCAATCTCTGGGCTACTTTCACAAATAAAGAATAAAGAATAGACAATGATACAACCCAATCCTCTCTGCCCCTCCCCCAATTGCTTTAATTGAGGAATATCACAATCTTATATAATTATGGAACTCATAAGTCAGGGTGTGGCATTCTCAATGCAGAACATGTCTGAAGTCAGCTATAAGGGAACATAATTGTGATCAGTTCTAGAAAAATGTGGACACAGAGCTGTATCTCAATTTTGAAAGTAGCATGCTTCAAAACCTCATTGCTGATTTGTATATAAAATAATAATATAGTATATACACAAAATAATTTGTGTATAAAATAATATTTTTGCTTACCATTCTGTTGAAACAGTACTATGTGGAGAAACAGTACTGCATAAAAACAGTGAATGGTTTCTGTGTTCAGTATATACTTTCTTATTTGTACCTCTCAGATCATGGCAGCATTGATACTGAATGTGATTTATTTAGTAGTTTAGCCATAACGACTAATCACTTTTAAGAGGCATATCTGTCAATACTAAGCGCTCGGGGAAATTTTGGCCATTTAGCAAGGCAATTTTTATTAACAGATTTCAAAGTGGTAGCTTATATACAGCAAAAAGAATTACAGAATTGATTTTACTTCATAAAACCAGGAACATTAAAATCTTTCCAATTCTGCTCCATGTGAAGATAACAGATGATAGGTTTAATTGATTTGTTCTTTAGATCCAAACAAATAATTGCCAAAAAAACCTGAAGTAATTTTAAGCCCAACTATTTCCTTGTAAGCATCCCTTTAAGTTTGTAATCCAGCATCATGTTTGTGGATGTGAGAGCTAAGGATTGTTAGCATAAATTATTCTGGTTAAAAAACAAAAATAGTTTGCCTGTAGATTGGCCTAGAAGTGGTTATTTGTGTCCTTGAAATACAGTTTTGATTCTGAACATTGGCAGAAAGCAAAACTACCGAAGACCCTAATGATGCTCAGCCTTTGTAAAGGTAGGGAATTAGTGTCAATATTAATTGCATCTATTCAGGTGATATAGATGCTCATTAAGAGAGGCTGGGATACTTAAAAAAAAAACACTGACAGAAAAAGGGTTAGTTTGAGCAATTAGATATTGGCACATTTGTTTAGCTGCTCCAAATGGTTATGTCCAGCCAAATGATTTCATAAACTAGCAATTTTGATTTTGTTAATATAGTTGTATTATCTCTAGATGTTTGTCATTTTTTAAGTTATGAAACTATTCTCAGTTACATGTGAATTGAAATACTTTTAAAAATTAATACTGCTTATTTCTTTTTATGATTACAGAAATAAAACTGAATGAGATCAATAAATAATTTTTGCAAAAAAAAACCCCTTCAGAGGTTTTTAATATAATTGTAATGTATGCGATGATTATGCACTTTTCAAGAATGTATGGTTGTTAAAAAATGGCAATGTAACTGTGTTGTAGTAATAACCTGTTTCACCATGTATTTGATAATGGCATTAATTGCCCTTAATTTTAGGCTGGTTTTAAACCATTTTATAAATACTGCTAATGTTAAATGGAATTCTAACTCACTGGCATTTTAAAAACTCATAACGTTTATTTTTCTAAAACTGAAAGTAGCTTATAAAACATTTATAACATACAGTAAAAACTGTCCTGAAGTTTAAAGTGAAGTCAGTATACTATCTCTCCCTACCAGAAGAAGCTGTAGAATCTGACTATTTTTTCCCAAGGAATGAAAGTAACACAACACAACTATTATATATGCATACTGTACCTACCTTTCATTTCTATCCCATAAGTGAAATAGGTTTACCATTGTTAACACTTCCAGTATTAACAGTTGTGGGTTGTTTTTTTTTCTTTTTATTGGTGGCTCTTAGGGCAGCCCTAGTAGTAACAGCTACATTGGGAATTTTTTTAGAGTTTAAAAAGGAAATTATTTTTTTGAGGTTATGTGATTTTTATTTACATCTTCTGAGTGTGCAAGGAATAGAGATGATGTAAAAACACACATCCAAGACAAGTAAACTTTCACTTCCCTTTTCCTGTTCACCCAAACTAACCCAGACTAAGTCTGGGGTTGCCATTAGCTGATAAATTACAACAACAGCTGCTAGGTGCATAAAATCTATTGTGTTTTTGCTACCCATCTCACAGAAATAGCTGAGGAACTAGTAATGGGTGGGATAGGGTGTTGATACCATCTGTTTCAGGCTAAGGTAAACACACCCCTCCCCAATGGGCCATGACAGCCTTGCTTGTTGTCACTCTGCTACCAGCTGTCTATCAAAACTGCAATAGTACTAGGCTACTCTGCTAGAAATTCTCTAAATCCTACTACATCTACATGGAGGGAAGTGTGTAGTGGGCTGGCCCAGGGCTCTGTTCTGGGCCCAGTGCTCTTCAACATCTTCATCAACAATTTGGATGAGGGGACAGATGGGGAACTCAGATGACACCAAGCTGGCAGGAATAGCTAACACTCCAGAAGGTAGGCTTAAGATACAGAAGATCTGGACAGACTTGAACATTGGGTGCTATTTAACAAAATGAAATTCGATGGTGAAAAAAGTAAGGTTCTACATTTAAGCAAGAAAAACCAAATGCCCATGTATAGTATAGGTGGTACCTTGCTCAATAGTAGCAACTGTGACAGGGATCTTGGAGTCCTAGTGGACAATCACTTAAATATGAGCCAGCAGTGTGCTGCAGCTGCCAAAAAAGCCAACACAGTACTAGGCTGCATCAACAGAGGGATAGAATCAAGATCACGTGAAGTGTTGATGCCACTTTACAATGCCTTGGTAGGCCACACTTGGAATACGGCATCCAGTTTTGGTCACCACGATGTAAAAAAGATGTTGAGACTCTAGAAACTAGAGTACAGAGAAGAGCAACAAAATGATCAGGGGACTGGAGGCTAAAACATATAAGGAACTGGGTATATCTAGTCTAATGAAGAGAAGGATGAGGGGTGACATGCTAGCACTGTTCCAATATCTCAGGGGCTGCCACATAGAAGAGGGAGTCAGGCTATTCTCCAAAGCGCCTGAAGGCAGGACAAGAAGCAACGGATGGAAACTAACCAAAGAGAGAAGCAACCTAGAACTAAGGAGAATTTACTGACAATTAGAACAATCAGTGGAACAACCTGCCTCCAGAAGTTGTGAATGCTCCAACACTGGAAGTTTTTAAGAAGAGACTGGAGCGCCATTTGTCTGAAATGGTATAGGGGTTTCTGCCTGAGCAGGGGGTTGGACTAGATGACCTCCAAGGTCTCTTCCAACTTTATTATTATTAGTATTATTATTATAACCTTTGTGGAATTGAAGTGGCCCCCCATTTGTG